ATTCACCCGGTGCTATACCAGCTGCACTGGCTCCCGGTGGAGTACAGGATCAGGTTTAAGGTGCTGGTTTTAACCTTTAAAGCCCTATACGGCCTAGGACCCTCGTACCTACGGGACCGCCTCTCCTGGTATGCCCCACAGAGAAACTTACGGTCTTCAAATAAAAACATCTTGAAGGTCCCAGGCCACAGAGAAGTTAGGCTGGCCTCAACTAGAGCCAGGGCTTTTTCGGCTGTGGCTCCGATCTGGTGGAACACTCTGTCACAAGAGACCAGGGCCCTGCGGGACTTGACATCTTTCCGCAGGGCCTGCAAGACAGAGCTGTTCCACCAGGCCTTTGGCCAGGGCACAGCCTGACTCCCTCCCTCGGCAATCTTCGCGGAGCTCTGGCCCAATGGTTGCCAGTGGCTTGAATTAATTAATTTTATAATGAATGATTTTAGAGTGTTGTTTGTGCTGTACTTTTGTACTGTTTTATTGTTGTTAGCTGCCCTGAGCCCGGCTTCGGCTGGGGAGGGCGGGATATAAATAAAATTTATTATTATTATTATTATTATTATTATTATTATTATTATTATTTGACAGTGCTGTATTGAGTTATATAAGGCAAGGCAGGATTACTCTGTTCCTTGGAGAAGGAATAAAGAATATCATTGACAATTCTATGCTCAGGTCTAAAGATTTGCTTTGCAAATAAAACAGCAAAGTCTTGTCTCACAAATATGGAAAACATGAGGTTGTACATACCGGTAGGTGTCTCTTGATAATACTTTTATTTTTACACTTGATTTTAGCCAAAAGGCCAAGAAGCTGTGCTCCTTCACACTCCCTTCCTAATTAATTATTATTATTATTATTATTATTATTATTATTATTATTATTATTTATACCCCACCCATCTGGGTATAACCTTTTAACCTTTTGTCCTTGTTTCTATCTTTTTAAGTATGCATGATATAATCACCTTTTAATTACTAGTTTTTTATCCCTTACCTGTTTTAAGTCTTATATGTTCAGTTTATCTGTTGTTGTTTTTTAATCTTATACTGGTCTGTGACTAAAATAAATTTGAATACTGATACTTTTATTTTTCTTTCAATTTCTTCCAAATTATTTAGAAATCCTGCAGTCTGGGAGTTGTGTTACTTATAAAAGGAATATAAGGGTTTAAAAAACAAAAAAAAACCCTGCCTGGTGGTTTAGCAAATATCTGGCACTTTTTAATTATATATTGCTCTATTCCACTTTAGAACGCTTGTATGTGTTTTGAGTTTTATCTGCTTTAAAATTGCATTTTCTATTTGTTGTAACTTGCCCTGGGACTTCCTTGAGAAGGGCGGGTAATAAATCTTATAAATCATAACCAAGAATTGAAAATAGTGAATACTCAAGGGATAAGAATTGGTAATTGGCTTCTTAAGTAGTAAGGAGGAGCATTAAATTTCACCCAATTTTATTTGAAGGTCAATTCCACTTACGTTCAGTGAGGCTTCACTCCCAAGCGTAATCTTGGATTTGCAGTTTCGCTTGTCTTGTTTCTTCGGAAGGAAGACCCACTGTGTTCAGCAAGGCTCACTCCTAGGTAGATAGTTTTATGGGAATGGGGAATAAGCGCTATTAAATTCGGTGGATCTGCCTCACCCCCCGAGTAAACATACAGACAAGATCGAAACGTGATACAGTTATAGTTCTAGCTGGCTAGAAAACAAAGAGGGAAAATAAGCTGCTTCTTTTAGCCACTTGCTTTTGTTGCTGTCTGTTTGTCTGCTGAGCACACAGAAACAGAATGAAACGCGTTGCTGCTGCTAATAGCAGGTTTGAGATAAAGCGCTGCTGCGATCAGCCACTCAGGCTGCGTTGCGAGGAATATGGTGTGATACAATTCACGCCCTCTGCCTTCCCTTCCTCCACAGGCACAGCAGCAAAATATGCAAGAGAGCAAATACCAAACTGTTACCCCCTGCCTTGGATCGTTTCATCCTCTTTGCAGGGAGGGAGGGAGGACAAGGCGGAGTTCCCCTCCCAGTGACGATCTGGCAGAAGGCAGCCGGCAGCCCTGAGTCACCCCCTCCCGATATTATGTTGCTCGAAAGCAGCTCCGTTGCCAGTTTGAAATGTAGCCTCTCTTTCCTGGAAGATGGGAAGCTGACCTCATCATTGTCTCTAGAACACCGGGCAAGGCGTGGACGGGAAAAGAGAAGACACCGATTAGCAACAGTGTTTATTGGCTGGGAAGGAAGGAAAGAAGCGCTGCGTCCTCAGAAAAGACTTTAAAAATGAACCCAGAACCTTCTGCAGCCTTATTTGCAATCATCATCATCATCAATTTTTTAAAAAGCCATGGCGGTGAATAACATAACATCAGTAATAAAATTATACCCACGAATTGCACTGCAAATCAAACGAGACTGATGCATCTACATAACCGAATCGCTCCTCAGGGAAATACTGGGTGAGCCGTTTAGATAACCCAGGTCATGTAAAACGCTCCAGACGGAGCAAAAGATCTTCTTGAGACTGGTGGGTGAATTGCATTTGTTCTGGAAGCAGCATCACCCTTTAATGATGAGTTATCCGGCTGAAATTCGTCATTTGTTTTTGTTTTTTTGAAGGTATGCGTGATACCTAGACAGCATCCTAAAAAGCAGAGACATCACCTTGCCAACAAAGGTCCATATAGTTAAAGCTATGGTTTTCCCAGTAGTGATGTATGGAAGTGAGAGCTGGACCATAAAGAAGGCTGATCCCAGAAGAATTGATGCTTTTGAATTATGGTGCTGGAGGAGACTCTTGAGAGTCCCATGGACTGCAAGAAGATCAAACCTCTCCATTCTTAAAGAAATCAGCCCTGAGTGCTCACTGGAAGGACAGATCCTGAAGCTGAGGCTCCAATACTTTGGCCACCTCATGAGAAGAGAAGACTCCCTGGAAAAGACCCTGATGTTGGGAAAGATGGAGGGCACAAGGAGAAGGGGACGACAGAGGACAAGATGGTTGGACAGTGTTCTCGAAGCTACCAGCATGAGTTTGAACAAACTGCGGGAGGCAGTGGAAGACAGGAGTGCCTGGCGTGCTCTGGTCCATGGGGTCACGAAGAGTCGGACATGACTAAACGACTAAACAACAACAACAATGCGTTGCTTTGTAACTTGCGTTTGATCCAAGGAGCAAAGAGAATCAATGCGCTTATTTGGCTATGGTCCACGAACCAGCTTTTTAAAAAAATTATTATTCCAAATTATTTGGAGCCTTGTAGCTGGGATGAGAAAGGGCCTTGCGGGTTTTGTTCTCCTTCCACACATAAGATCAGTTGTATGACCAGCTCCTCCTCATTCTGTTCACGTGAACTAGTCTGCTTCCAGCCACACCCAGTGCCAACCCAGATATAGCTGTGGATCTGACTCCAGAGCTTAAAAGGCGCCTTGGTCCTTGCCTTCTCCCACCACCACCTTGATAACAGGGGGACTCGTCCTCATTCAAGTCACCCACCGTTATGCAGCCACCCCACTGGTCTCGCTCGCTAATAAACACGCCCAGACTCGTGTTTCCGCCTGCAGAAATGGGGAGCCAGGCAGGGGAGAGAGTGGCCTGGCCTTGCACCTTTGCATACCTGGCCTCGATCTCGCCAGGGGTCGAAAGCACGTGGGGAGAAGGATGGCAGAGAGAAACTGCAGCAGAGGCCGCGCCCGAGCGCGCTGCCTGCCTGCCACCTTGCAGCGTTGGCAGCTGCAAACGGGGGGCGGGGGGGGGGGGGCTTCTCTTAAGAAACAAAAGGATGGGGGGGGGAGCCGGAGGGCGCGGCCGGATGCTGCAAATGCCGGAGCCCTGCGCGCAGCAGATTCTTTTTCTCTTCCCTTCCTCCTCTGTCCCTGACCCCATCACGTTATCTTTTCTCACTGGGGGAGTCGAGAACAAAGCCACTCCACTCCATCCTTTAGAAGAAGAAGAAGAAGAAGAAGAAGAAGAAGAAGAAGAAGAGTCGGGGGGATATTTCGACTCCAAGGATATTTCAGGGGGAAAGTCCTGCTGGAGACAGAGAGGGAGGAGGATGGAGGCTGTTTCTGTTCCTCCGGTCCATTTCAACTTGAAGCTTCCAACCACCTTTAAATACATGGGGCGTCGTCAAGGAGGGGCAGGGCGTAGCTAGGATTTTTGTTAGGGGGCAGGCCTTTTGTTGGGGAGGGGGGGAGAACTTCAGTTGGCTATATATTTTTATTTATTTATTTTGTTGTGTTTATTTATTAATTGTATTAATAAATTATTAATTACTTTTATTAATTATACCGCCCTATACGGGGCCCTCAGGGTGGTTCACATAATAAAATAAAGATATAAAACATACATAATAAAAATAAAACAACAACCCAATAGGACGGGGCCCCCCCAAGCACATTTTAAAAGGGACTAGGATTTTTATTGATTTTGGGTGGCAGCTGCCCCGCCCTGTCCTCACTCCCACTACACCAACATACAGTACAGTGGTACCTCGGGTTAAGTACAGTGGTACCTCTGGTTACGTACTTAATTCGTTCCGGAGGTCCGTTCTTAACCTGAAACTGTTCTTAACCTGAAGCACCACTTTAGCTTATGGGGCCTCCTGCTGCCGCTGCACCGCTGCTGCACGATTTCTGTTCTCATCCTGGAGCAAAGTTCTTAACCCGAGGTACTGTTTCTGGGTTAGTGGAGTCTGTAACCTGAAGCGTATGTAACCCGAGGTACCACTGTGTATATATCAGAAAGCGAAGGGAGAGAGAAGAGATGGGTCAGCAATTACGATATGATAAACCTCCAAGCAAATGTCTGAATGCATTCTATTAAAAAATAAAAATAAAATCAACCGGGGGTGGGGGAGAGGGGATGTACGGACTTTTGCGGATCCGTCGTCTCCCCCCGTCCCCCCCATCCGCCGTCAGCCACTGGGCGCATTACATCACCCGAGCCGAGGAGGCAGCTGTGAATGGGAGTAGGTGGGGCTTGGGCTGCAGAAAGGCGGGGATCGGCGCTCCCCGTATAAAAAGCAGCTCCAGGCCGAGGCGCTCCCTGTTGCTTGTTGCCGGTGCTGAAGAGAGCCGAGGTCAGGCAGGTGGGCGCGCCGGAGGCAGAAGCGGCCAGCGAGTGGGGGGTCAGCCCGGAGTCAAGCCGTCGCCATGCGTGAGATCGTGCACATCCAGGCCGGCCAGTGTGGCAACCAGATAGGGGCGAAGGTATAGTCTGGACCAGGGCAGGGGAAGAAAGGAAAGGGGGGCGTCTCTATTGTTACACGCGCTGCAGGGAGTCGCCAATTACAGGCGTTCCACGCGTCTCTAACTCGGGTGGGGTTCAATGACCTCGGCCTCCTGCGCATCGAAGGAGCCTATTCAGCAACTCGGCATTTTCTCTCTCTCTTTTTTATGTCTTCGTCTCACAATTTTGAGAGATGTATTCTTCACTACCACTATCCCCGCTCGGGTCTGCTTCCTCGACGGCGCGTTCATCCTCTGCTGCAGCCGGTTCCTTTGTTACACGCCCCTTGCGGAGGGGAGGGAGGAGAATAGAAAATGCTGGTCGCGTTGGATAGCCCGTTCGTTGCCTTTGATGTGTGAGCTGCTAGTAGGAACCGGCGCTCTAATAAGGGGTCTAGAAAAAGGCGTTTCCTCATCCCGCCTTGTAGGCATTTCGTGCTTTGAGTCAGCGCTCATGTCACCAAGTCACACACACACACACACACACACACACACACACACACACACACACACACACACAAAATTCGAAATCCGGGTGATGGTGTTTTTTTTGTGTGTGGATGGGACTGGATCTGGTGCTTTAACAATAATTTTATTTATACCCTGCCCATATGGCTGGGCTTCACCAGCCGCTTGTTTTATTTTTGACAAGTAAGGGTAGCTGGTAACTCAATTCCCAGCCACACCCTCAATGCTGGTACAGAGACAATATAGCCTTCAGTAAGTCGAGAGGGTCTATAGCCATCTCTAGGCTCACTGGTATCCTCATTCCTAAGACAGTATTGGGCTAAATTCTGCAGTAAAGGGGATTTTAAGGTTCAATGAAAGGTACGCCATCTCCATGTTGCTTCCCTTGTGTAGGTAGATTGTCACAGGTGCTTTCTCTGAATTCAGTTTGGGTAGATCATATGAGCCTATTATTTTGAGCTTGACTTGTTTGGGGATCTGGTTGCCCCCGCTGGGCTTTCTGCTTCCCTTTTGTGGAAGGGAACGAAGAAATACTGAATTTGCTTTGAAAATATTTAGAGTTGGCGCTACCACCTTGGCAGGCTATGCAGTAATAGTGTGGTCCATGCAGCATGTATCTCGAAGCTCTCAAGTGAATGGAAAGTGTTCTTTGATCTTCTGCAACATTGCAGGGCATTTTTCTGTGAGCATAAAGTACCCCCTCTCCCCCCACACCTTAGACCATAAGTGCTTGCTCAGAAAACATTGTCACAGATCTGGGGACACATGCCCACTGGTCCTTTCATAAGGGAGTTTCCCTAGCAGCTTCTAAGCTTACCTTATCAAGGATATGAAGCAAAGAGTGGCTTTCTGCTGACATTTTGGTTATGATCATGGGCAGAGAGGCTGGTGCTGGTTTGGTTTTGTGTTTGAGAGAACAGCACCAGGAGACAATAGCCTTTCTAGCGCCGCTAAGGTGGGGCGCAAGTGGGTGTGTACATGGGCTTGGTGGCACCTTTTCCTCCCCACTCCTGCACACAACGAAAGATCATCATTCAATGTTTAAATACGGTTAAAATTGAACAAAACCAAGAACATTCAAGACAGAGGCTTGAATTACAAAAGATAGGGCAGAGAAAATACCAATAAACATAAGGAGTGTTTTTTGTTTTTTTTAAGGAAAGCAGTACTGAAGAATTTTCTGCAGCCATCCTTTTCTCACTGCCCACCATGCAACGTATTTCAGAATTATAAACGGAGATTTTAAAGAGCTGTCAATGGCATCCTGGTGCATTGTGGCTTCCTTTCTGGGTTGCGTGTGGAGTATTGCAGCGGTGCTGTTTCTTTGTGCTTCAAGCCGCTGTCAAGGCAGCCACCTGGGCTGCCAGAGCTCTTAAGGGTTTGCCTTGATCTGCCTCATTTCCCACAGCAGAAGCTCTTTTCAGCTGGGAATCTGGCAGCCCTGACAACGGGATTTTGGCAAGGCGTGCCAGCAAGCAGCATGTGGTTTTTTGGGGGGGAGGGGGAGTCAGCCTTCTAGGCATTTCAAAGGCAGTTGCTAATAGCTCTCCAAAATTCCCATTCCAGTTCTGGGAAGTCATCAGCGATGAGCATGGAATTGACCCCACCGGCAGCTACCACGGAGACAGTGACCTACAGCTAGAGAGGATCAACGTCTACTACAATGAAGCGACTGGTAACCTTGGGGAGGGAGCGGGGGTGTGTGTGTGTGTGAGAGAGAGAGAGAGAGAGAGAGGGAGGCCGGGGAGGAAAGCTGCTGATAGATTCTTCAAAAAATGTCACGGGCACTGGGAGAGCAGCGTGACAAAACCCTGGCAAGCCGGGGCCTTTAAGCAGCTATTGAAATCCTTGGCAACGCTTTAATGCCTACTTAAAATTCAAGCCTGGTTTCATTAGGCTGTTCCCTTTAAATCTGCGCCTCCCCCACTCCTTTTATCTGTTTAGAGAGTTGCTGTGTCTCTCCGGTGAATAGTAATGAGGTTGCCAAGAGCATAGGAGCTGCCTTGTGTTGGGTTTTGTGTGGCTTCTCCTCCCCTCCCCAGCCCATGAAATCTGCTGACAGCAGGTCTGTAACGCTGAGTGTCTTTTGTCGTTCCCTCCCCCCCCCCCGCCGCCACTGCAGGTAACAAGTACGTGCCCCGTGCCATCCTTGTGGACTTGGAGCCTGGCACAATGGACTCAGTCAGGTCTGGACCTTTTGGGCAGATCTTTAGACCTGACAACTTTGTCTTTGGTAAGTGTTTCATCATGGCTGTTCTAAAACGGGTGGCCCAAGCGAAAATGAACTCGGAAGCTCAGGTCCTCTCTGCCTAGATCAAGGGTTTGCTGGCTAGAAATCTACCGATCTGTTCCAGTTCACCTTCAGTACCTCCTCTTCTCCTCCACTAAGCAAAGCATAAGTGCTACAATCAGCTTGGCTTGAAGCCAGTTGGCATTCACTGCCATCATCATGTGCGGTCCTCTTTAAAGTTGTCAGGCATCAATCTCTGCGTAGGGTTCTGCTATTATGAGCTTTCACAATAGGAGTAGGATGGGGAAGTATACATTTCCTGTTTCCCATGTGATGAAGAACCCTTTTCTGTATTGGCAGAAAAATGGGTCAAGGGATCATTCCTGCATCTCTCCCACAGTGAAATGGATGAGATATTCTGCGATTTGAGGCATATTGCCACAAGAGAAAGGGCGGCCTTCTCTCCCTTAACCAGAACACACCGTGGATAGCTCAGTCGATAGAGCATGAGACGCTTAGTCGCAGGGTTGTGAGTTCGAGATTCCTGCATTGCAGGGAGTTGGACTAGATGACCCTTGGTGTCCCTTCCAACTCGACAGTTCTATGATTCTATGTGTCAGGGGCTGGCCAGTGTCGGATGCCAGAGACTGGTCTGACTTGGACAAGGAAGGCAGACAGTCACAGACAGAGCAGCCTTTAACAGAGGAAGGGGGTAATTGCCCCCTTCCTTCAGTGTTCTCAGTAACAGAGAGAATAGTAGATTAAGAAACCTCACAGTCGGAGGAGGAGGAGATAGACAGCCCTGATAAAGTTGCTAGGCAACCAGGAGGGAGAGAGAGTTTGGAAGGCTCTTACTTTGAGAGCGGCGGGGATGTTCCTCCCTCCCCTCAGACTAGGAGGCAGGAAAGGGTTAAGGAACAACGAAAGCACAGGGGCAAAAGGACAGGGAATCAGCACCCTTCGTGCTGCAAAAGGGGAGGAGATTCAGAGTGAACAACTGATACCTAGAGAAAAGTTGGCTCAGTGCTGCTCTCTTTGTGTTATTGTAAATAGACTATAAACCTGTCAGAGGCACATTAATTCTTATTGGAAACTCCTGTCCATATCTGCAGACCTGACACTATGCGAGATTGACCATGGATCCCTGTTGCATGCAAATTTCTTGGCCATGAGGTTTAGCGTTTGCATGCAAATAAATATTTGGAGAAGATATATGAGGGAAATACCAATGTTCTAGCTCTTGATGGATACACTATGCTTATCCAAGAACTCAACAGAACCATTTCTAAGGGCTGTTACAGACTGTGCCCCCCCAAAAAAGGTCATAACCAAAATCTTAAAGGAAATGTACATTTTGGCTCAAGCTGGTTTGCTTTAGCAGTTCCACCCTTTACGCATTGAAAGTGTTGGCAGCTGTAGCTTCTGCCTGTTCATCACCTCTCCACTTCCTCCTCTAGGCCAGAGTGGTGCTGGGAACAACTGGGCCAAGGGCCACTACACGGAGGGAGCTGAGCTGGTGGACTCTGTGCTGGATGTGGTGAGGAAGGAGTCTGAGAGTTGTGACTGCTTGCAGGGCTTTCAGCTGACCCATTCCCTGGGTGGTGGCACAGGCTCCGGGATGGGGACGCTCCTCATCAGCAAGATCCGGGAGGAGTATCCCGACCGGATCATGAACACGTTCAGTGTGATGCCGTCCCCTAAGGTGTCAGACACGGTGGTGGAGCCCTACAATGCCACGCTGTCCGTTCACCAGCTGGTGGAGAACACGGATGAAACCTACTGTATTGACAATGAGGCCTTGTACGATATCTGCTTCCGCACACTCAAACTCACGACTCCGACGTACGGGGACCTCAATCACTTAGTGTCGGCCACCATGAGCGGCGTCACCACCTGCCTGCGGTTCCCTGGCCAACTGAATGCCGACCTCCGCAAGCTGGCGGTCAACATGGTGCCCTTCCCTCGCCTGCACTTCTTCATGCCCGGTTTTGCTCCCCTCACGAGCCGCGGAAGCCAGCAGTACCGGGCCCTGACAGTGCCAGAGCTGACCCAGCAAATGTTCGATTCCAAGAACATGATGGCGGCCTGTGACCCACGCCACGGGCGCTACCTGACGGTGGCGGCCATTTTCCGGGGCAGAATGTCCATGAAGGAAGTGGACGAGCAGATGCTGAACGTCCAGAACAAGAACAGCAGCTACTTTGTCGAGTGGATCCCCAACAACGTGAAGACGGCCGTGTGCGACATCCCTCCGCGAGGCCTCAAGATGTCCGCCACCTTCATTGGCAACAGCACGGCCATCCAGGAGCTGTTCAAGAGGATCTCTGAGCAGTTCACGGCCATGTTCCGCCGAAAGGCCTTCCTGCACTGGTACACCGGAGAGGGCATGGATGAGATGGAGTTCACGGAGGCCGAGAGCAACATGAACGACCTGGTCTCCGAATACCAGCAATATCAAGACGCCACAGCGGACGAGCAAGGAGAGTTTGAAGAGGAAGGCGAGGAGGACGAGGCTTAGGATGGCGGTGGTTTAGTGCAGTGGGGCAAGTTTAGTGCAATGGGGCCAGTGTTTTGGGGCACAGTCTGTTCAGCTCTGCTGATGCATGCTTTTTCAGTTCAACTTGGTGCTTTCTCTGCTGGCTTTGTCAGCAGATTTACTCGTTGTGTAACAGTAGTTGCAAAAGAGTTATGAAAAAGTCTTCTGTCTAAATGTCTGATACAAACATAAAAGGCATTTGTGTTTCACGCTGTTGTCTGGATTCTTTTATTGTGTTGTGAAACTGCAGAGCAGAAATGAAGCCAAGTCAGGGAACAGTGGGAAATTATTATGCTACTTCTGCGACAGAAGTGTTGCAGCCATCATGCAAGTAAATAAAATGTGAATGAACTGGACCGATTATTAGAATGCTACATACTCTTCCAATTAACATTTGGCACTGGAAAAGTATTTGATCAAAGAACAAACAGGCATGTTCTTTGTAATATATTTAGATGATTATGCTCTCCTTGGGGTGCTAACACTATGTTAAAAGAAAATGACTGTCATCCTTAGGCTTCTTGGTCCGTTTCCTAATTGAGCAATGAGGGACCTGTGATCTTCCAGATATTGTTGGACTCTAACTCCCATCAGCCCCAGTGAACATGGCGAGTGGGAATTTTAGTCCAACATCACTTGGAAGGTCACAGAATACACACCCCTATTTAAGGAAGCTGGAGTATACTTTGAAGGCAATGGCCAGAAACATGTTTTCAACAGTGTCATCATAAGTCTGAAGCCCTGATATTAAGGAGTACTGTTGTCCATTGAAAAGTAAGTTGCTACTCTACCCCTAATTGATGCAACAAGAATTACAACACAAATTTCATTTTTCCTGCAGATGGTCCCTCAATAGAGGTGGTGTCTAAGTAACTGGTCTAACACTACTCAATTTAGGAATTGCACTCATGTTCATTGCAGTGAGGAATTGTTTTCTTTTGCAATTAATTTAGTCAAGGTTTTTTGTTTTTGTTTTTTAAAAACCTAATCACACTCATCTTCAAAGAGGAGAGTCAAGACCTTAGCCTAAAACCAATTGTTTGAAGGTGTGGTAAATGATTATCATAATTACAGGAAAACAAGATTGGGCCTGTGCCTCTGAAGCTTCCTGAGAACGCAGAAGATTGCGGCCAGTGATGGTAAGACTTGAGGTTGTCCTTCAGATCACTACAGGCACCTGGAACCTTGGAGGAGTGGCTGCTGAGAATATATTTTGCTGAGACAATGTGCGGAACCTGCCTGTTTAACCGAGGAAGAGTCAAGATCTGTCCTTTCGCTCTCCACAGACAAGTTTTCCTTCATGCTGTGCTGCTGCTGCAGGGTAAAAGAGGGGGGGGGAATGGTTTCCTTTACCAGCTTCCTAGGACTGGGACAGGAACCTATTTTTCTGCATTCCCTAGGGCAGGCATTCTATAGGGAATAATGCGGGGGGGACAGTGTTTCCCAAACTTGGGTCTATAGTTGCTCTTGGAGTAAACTTGAATTCTCATCCCAATAGCTCCCTTGTGAGGAAAATGTCTGGGATTCTTTAGTTGTGGTTCCTGCATTGCCGCAGTACCTATTTATCTACTTGCACTGGCGTGCTTTCGGACTGCTAGGCTGGCAGGAGCTGGGGCAGAGCAACAGGAGCTCACCCCGTTTTGGGGATTCGAACTGCCAACCTTCTGATCAGCAAGCCCAAGAGGCTCAGTGGTTCAGACCACAGCACCACCCGTGTTTAAGCAGCATGTGTGGCATCCTATGATCAACAAACCTCACACCTGCAATCCACAGAACTGAGTGTACCAGTGTTCATGCTGATCCTCTCAACAGCCTACAAGGGATCACTCTGGATTAGGGGTCAGCAAACATTTTCAGCAGGGGGCCGGTCCACTGTCCCTCAGACCTTGAAGAAGAAGAGGAGTTTGGATTTGATATCCTGTTTTATCACTACCCAAAGGACTCTCAAAGCGGCTAACATTCTCCTTTCCCTTCCTCCCCCACAACAAACACTCTGTGAGGTGAGTGGGGCTGAGAGACTTCAAAGAAGTGTGACTGGCCCAAGGTCACCCAGCAGCTATATGTGGAGGAGCGGAGACGCGAACCCGGTTCCCCAGATTACGAGACTACCGCTCTTAACCACTACACCACATTGGCTCTCAGCGGGGGGGCAGACTATATTTTGAAGGGAAAAAATTGAACAAATCCCTATGTCCCACAAACAACCCAGAGATGCATTTTAAATAAAAGCACACATTCTACTCATGTAAAAACAGGCTGATTCCCGGACTGTCCACGGGCCGGATTTAGAAGGCGATTGGGCCAGATCCAGCCCCTGGGCCTTAATTTGTTTACCCATGTTCTGGATGATACACAGCCAAGAACCACAGCACCATCTCCTCAGGTCATTATCTTTTCCTTTGAAATACCACATTTCATTGTCCTTGGGAAAACATTTTGAATATAAACATTTTGCCCTCTTTCAACCAACAGGAGGGCTGGAGCTAAATATAAAATACATAAGTAGTAAGGAAAAAACAACAACCTATGAAACGTTTCTCCTGATTTTGTACTCCATTCTTAAGAATTAAGTGATACCTAGAGACATTTAATTCAATGGGCTTAAGGGTGCATATTTTTGTTATACAAGCTGCTAATGCCCTTCTGCATCCTTATGAGAAATCATCTCACCGTGTTTTGTATCTGGGTGCATGAGCAGTTGCTGACCTTTTTCTGTGGGTGAGCTTACGCCGAATAAACATGACTAGTATCAGATAACAGGTCTAGCATATCTGGTGGCAGAGCAATGATGGAGCCTGGGTAGACTTGGCATCTGAGAAACATGTACTTCACATCTACCCATCTGCTTTTCTCAATGGATAGACCTGCTGTCCATCTGCTGATGTATCCGAGATCCAAATGTCTTTTCACTCCCCGATGAAACTCTCAGCTTTTTCCCTGGCTGCCTTCACCTTCTCCAGCCCTTATTAATTGCACGGCTGCTACTTCACTTTTTAATTTTTTTATTGTATTTATATACCACCCTATACCTGTGGGTTTCAGGGCGGTTCACAAATAAAATCAAGATAGGTAAAGGTAAAGGGACCCCTGACCATTAGGTCCAGTCGTGACCGACTCTGGGGTTGCGGCGCTCATCTCGCTTTATTGGCCAAGAAACGCCGTTTACCTTCCCGCCGGAGCGGTACCTATTTATCTACTTGCACTTTGATGTGCTTTCAAACTGCTAGGTTGGCAGGAGCAGGGACCGAGCAACAGGAGCTCTCCCCATCATGGGGATTCGAACTGCTGACCTTCTGATCAGCAAGTCCTAGGCTCTGTGGTTTAACCCACAGCACCACCTGCATCCAAAATCAAGATATAGAACCACAAAATGCATAATAAAACAACAACAAACCAGTAGCTCCCCACCACACACACACAAAAACCACATTTTAAAAGGGCATAGAATGTCAATCAGATCAACCAAAGGGCTGGTTAAAAAGGAACATTTTGGCTGGTGCCTAAAGCTGTACAATGAAGGCACCAGGCGAACTTCCCTGGAGAGAGCATTCCACAGACGGGGAGCCACTGCAGAGAAGGCCAGTTCTCATGTTGTCACCCTTTGGACCTCTTGAGGAGGGAGCACACAAAGAAGGGCCTCAGAATATGATCTCAGGGTCCAGGTAGGTTCATATGGAAAGAGGTGGTACTTAAGGTATTGCGGTCCTGAGCCATTTAAGGCTTTATAGTCTGCATACTGCCTTTCCCAAAGAAACGCCCCATTCCCCCCGCCGCCACCAAACACTAGATTAAAAACATTAGACTACACATCAGGGCTGTCATATGCAACCTTCTTGCTTCGGCAACATGAGTAGAACAAAACAGGGATGCTTTGCAGGATGGATATAACCCACACACTTCCAGCCACTGTCCTGATCTCGGCATAATAGAAACAGACTTGGTCTGCTTTGGTGTAAACAGAATATTCAAAAATGTTGACAGAGTAAAAAAAAAGCCCAAAGACCTGGCTTAGAAATATAGTACATTCCTGTCTTTGCTGCTGCATTTTGTTTTTTGAGTTGACTCACTGCTCCCCAAGCACAGCTGCCCTAATATCCTGTATACCTGCACTGTTTTCTATGGGTCAGCAGGAATAACTTCTCCCCCCAAAACACACCTGCAGCAAAGGATTAATAGCAAACCAAAACTGTAGATATTAGGTGTTTCTCTCTAGCCTTGTCTAATTGGATGGATCATCTTTTCTAAGTGTTAGTTGTTGGTCTGATTTCATTCATTGACTTAAAATGCCAAAAGGGGGGAGCAGGTTAGTTTCTCAAAAAGCATGCTGAAAACTAGCTCTTTTTCTCAACCAAGGCCAGTGATCTGGGGGTTATGATTTTTGTGGAGGAAGATACCCTTGCTGCCACATGGATGCTCATGGATCTCCGGAACATTAACCTTGCATGCATCGCGCAATGAGGCACCAAATGTGGAATGGTGCTGCAGAGCCACATCTTTGCGTGTGTCCTTGATGTTCAGACATTAAGTGCGGGTGTCTTCAAAGGAAAGCTGATGTGCATAGCCTTTCCTTGGTAGATGCAATGAGGTGCTTGTCCCTTGGTACACACAGGGAATAAAGTTGCACACAACACCAAGGAGAGCTGCAAAAATATAAGCTGGCTTTCAAGGTATGGTCTCTTGGGCAGAAGGGACTTCTGGGTGATCCCTCAAAGGAACCTTTCATCTCCTGGCAATTTCAGCAAACAAAAAGTAACAAATCATTAAAATCGAACAGCTCATTAAAGAGAGCTCTCTCTAAGCACTAAAATACTTTGTTGTTCAACTGGAATCCTAGGCCTTAAAATAAACACACAGAGTATGTTTGCATTTTTTGTCATTTAAGTTTGAAAATGCAGGAAATTAGAAAGCAGATGGGATAAAATTGAGGGTGGGAGAAGATCCAAAGAAAGAAGAATGGCAGTTCAAGATGATGGGAGTATGCAGAATCAGTGGGTCTAACCAGAAGAATAGGAGAATTATGGGGAAATAATTGTGAACAAGTGAAAATGCTAGCAGGATTAAGGTAAATTCAACAGTAAAAATCATGCTGAGGTAATATTTAAAGGGAGGTGATTTAGATGGTTAGAATAGAATATGTGATATGACATATATGCACAACCTTTTAAATATGCCTCTCTGAGCTCTTAAACAAGGCATGTTGGCTGACAGAAGCTAAACAGCCAAGAAGAAGAAGATATGCAGCTAAGTATTGTTGCCTGTCACCCCAATCTCCAAGAGGTGTGAGAGTCCAGGGGTTTCAGATGCTTACCCAGGGTCCAGGTTTCCTACTAGAAATGAGGCACAGCAGAGACTGTGGTGTCTTTTGTGGGATGTATCATCACTGAAGCCGTCAACTACAACATTTCCTGTTGCCTAGAGTGGACACACAGGAGAATGTTGCTTCCTGTCATACCTGCTCTGGAGCCTCCTCCCCCTGTGTGTGACCAGGTAGATGGGCATGACCCTAGCAGACCCTACAAAAAGCCATCTTCCCCTCTTTTTCCATTTTCTCCTTTTGGACTCCTCTTCTGGCTCTTAGCCAGCACATGACTCATCCTTACAGAGGATGGAAGCCAGAAGGTAGAAAGTCTGTGGCCTAGCTCAGACTGCTTTTCTCTACAAATCAGCCATGTCCTCGCCACCCTGGTAGGGTCGAAGATTTTTGGCATGCTGGACTTGGCCCAGGCCTACCAGCAGTTACCAGGGGACGAGGCCACTGCTGAGGCACAGACTCAGTGTCACGCACAAGGGCGCATTCCGTGTCAAGTGGCTGCAATTTGGCATCAGCGTGGCACCATGATATTCCGAAATCTCATGGACTCTCTCCTCAAATGAATTACTGGTGTCACCTCCTTCTTCGATGATGTGTTGATCGCTGGGGCCACACCAGGGGAGTTTGGGGACTGACTCCGCACCGTCCTGCACCGTTTCCAGATGTCTGGCCTCAAGGTGAAGTGGGAAAAGTGTCTGCTAGGAGTGCAACAGGTAGACTTTCTGGGGTTTATGGTGGATGCAGACAGAGTCCACCCAACCGGGGACAAGGTGCAGGCTATTTGTGACACCCCGGCACCTAAGTGTAAGGCCTTCTTGGGACTATTGAACTACTACCATGCTTTCTTACCTCACAAGGCAGCGGTAGCAGAGCCCCTACACAGACTGTTAGACAAACAGGCCCCATGGGTCTGGGGGCAGCACCAGGAAGCCGCTCGTCTCAAACTCAGTCCTGGTGCACTTTGACAAGAGGCTGCCGGTGGTGCTGGCATGTGATGCCTCGCCCTACGGCGTCAGCACCATCCTGGGGCACCAACTTCCGGATGGGAGAGAGGTGCCGGTTGCCTACTTTTCCCAGACCCTCTCCGCAGCCAAGAGGAACTAATCGCAAATAGACAAAGAGGGTCTGGCAATCGTGAAGGGAGTAAAGAAATTTCATGATTTCTTGTACAGGCGCCCCTTCACCGTGGCGACCGACCACAATCCACTGCTCAGCCTGTTTGCCCTTGAAAAGCAGATCCTCAAGTACTGTCACCCCATGTTCTCAGGTGGTCAATTTTCCTTGCTGGCTACCAGTATACACTGATCCACTGGCCTGGGAAGGCGATGGGCCATGCAGACACCCTCAGCAGGCTGCCACTACCAGAGACTAGCCCCGACCCAGCACCCGCACAAGAGGTCATGAGCCTGGAACAGCTTCCCGACAGCCCCATTCAGGCGCCGGAAGTAGCGCGCCACTCCTCGAAGGATAGGGTCATCTCCCGGGTCTTGAACTGGGTGTGGTGGAGATAGTCCAGTAGCAACCCCGGGCTGGAATTCGCAGGCTAAATGACCCGCAAACACGAACTGTCGGCCCACAAGGGGTGCCTGTTATGGGGAAGCAGGGTGGTCATTCCCCAGCCAAAAGGACCTTGCAGCCCTACACGAAACACACTCAGGGGTAGTGAGAATGAAGACACTCACAAGGAGTTATCTGTGGTGCCTGGGGAATGACGGGGAGATAGAGGCCTGGGTTAAATACTGCCAGACCTGCCAGGAGGCCTGCCCAGATCCCCCGAGGGCTCCCGTCCAACCCTGGGAGTCCGCCCAAGCACCGTGGTCCCACCTGCATGTGGACTTCGCTGGCCCCTTCTTCGTAGTGGTGGACTTGTACTCCAAATGGCTGGAGGTTGCCCTGGTACCATCCACTCCTACGGCCGTGGCCATCCGAGTACTACGTAGGCTGTTCCGGGTAACGGAACAACATGAGCCATGTTCCGGGTAACGGAACAACATTCACGTCAGAGGAGTTCCAGACCTTCACAGCACAAAATGCCATCCACCACACATGATCGGCGCCGTTCCACCCCGCCACCAACGGTCAAGCAGAGCGCATGATGCCTACCAACAAGGACGTCTTCTGCTGCATAACGCAAGGGGAATGGGAGTACCGCCTAGCTGCATTTCTCCTATCCCAGCCCAGCACCCCCAGCACAACGACTGGCCAAAGCCCAGTGGAACTACTCATAGGCCAGCGCCTCACAACAAGACTGGACCGCCTTCACTCCAACAGGGCTCAGGATGAGGCAGCAGTGGGGAAAAGTAGGGACCCCTGGACCTTCTGGCCCTGGGACAAAGTGTACGCAAAGAACTTCGGGGTGGGCCCAGCATGGGTACCCGCCACAGTCACCAGAGTGACCAGGCCTGTGTTGTATGAAGTGCTAACAGAAGGGGGGCAAAGCTGGCACTGCCACTGCTATGGTGATGATTCTGGGGGGGCGGGACTGGGAAGAGGGCTGGACTGAGGAATCCCAAGGGGACAGCTGGGAGGGGAGGCCTGTAGAGCTGGAGGAGCGGGCAAGGGAGGCAGAACTAGTTAGCCCAGAGGTGACCCCTGAGGCTGAGCGCCCAAAGGAACCAGAGCCACGACCGTGTGGACCAGTGGAGCCCAAACAAAGAGCTCCGTTGCAGCAGCCAGCCCCGCAACAAGAGTCAGAACCAGAAACCCATACCGAGGGACACAGCGCATATGTAGGTGACCGGCATACCTCTACAACTACGAATGCTAACCTTCTGGGTATGATGGAAACTTAGAGGGGAAACTAAGCTTGGATCCTAGAACAATAGGCAGGTAGGATCCTAGAATGCAACAATGTGATTGGCCTGCAGGAGCAGCCCAATCAGGCTCCAGGAGGGAAGCATAATCAGCCAATCAGATGGGACCCATTGTGTAAATAATGTATATAAACCCAGAGGTTTGGGGGGGTGGGAACTCACTCACTGTTTTACCAGCTGCCATAAAAAGCATGCAATCACTACGTGACGCCAGGTATATTTCATAAACAAAAAAAGGGCGCTACAATCCTAATGATAGTTTCTTGGATGCAGAATGCTGCAGCGAGGCTCCTCACGGGGTCTCTGCCATGGGAGCATATTCACCCAGTGCTTTTCAATCATTCAACTTGTTTTTATTATTGCTTGTAAGCCACTCTGAGCCCAGCCTTGGCTGGGGAGGGCGGGGTATAAATAAAAATTATTATTATTATTATTATCACCTTGCCAACAAAGGTCCGTATAGTTAACACTATGGTTTTCCCAGTAGTGATGTATGGAAGTGAGAGCTGGACCATAAAGAAGGCTGATCGCCAAAGAATTGATGCTTTTGTATTATGGTGTTGGAGGAGACTCTTGAGAGTCCCATGGACTGCAAGAAGATCAAACCTATCCATTCTGAAGGAAATCAGCCCTGAGTGCTCACTGGAAGGACAGATCCTGAAGCTGAGGCTCCAATACTTTGGCCACCTCATGAGAAGAGAAGACTCCCTGGAAAAGACCCTGATGTTGGGAAAGATGGAGGCCACAAGGAGAAGGGGACGACGGAGGACGAGATGGTTGGACAGTGTTCTTGAAGCTACCAGCATGAGTTTGACCAAAGTGCGGGAGGCAGTGGAAGACAGGAGTGCCTGGCGTGCTCTGGTCCAGGGGGGTCACGAAGAGTCGGACACGACTAAATGACAATAACATGATGTGAAAAGGCTTGGTGGGGCAGGGGAAAATCGGAGATTTCTGACCGCAGCAGAAAAACGCAACCCTTAGACTGAGCTCCCAGGCCCACAACAGTCTATCTGCTTTTTGATCTGGGGGAAAGAAAACCTTCGAGCGCATCAAAATGGTCTCTGCTGCAGGCAAGTCCAAAAATAAAACCCCGCTGAAAAGACCAAAAGCCGGCACAGCGAGGACCCGCTTTGCAATATTAGGGTCGCCCCTAGGAAACCACCTGCTTGCGTGCGCGGGGCGGGGTGGGGCCGGTCAAATCCAGGCCGCCGCCGCCGCCCCGCCCCCTCCCTCCCTCCCTCGGGCGCGAGCAGCGGAGGTATGAACTTTCTCCTCTCCACCCCTCGAGCGAGAGACAAGGCGGGGCCGGGAGGGGAAGGGGCGGAGCCACGCGCCTCCCGCTATAAAAGAGACCTCGGGGGAGGAGGGAGGCGCGCCCTTGTTTCCTGCTGCTGCTGTTGTCGAGAGAGCAAGTCGCAGTTTTCTCTTTCCGGAAGGTAGCAAGCGGGTGATCGCCTGAAACAAAGTCGCAGCCATGCGGGAGATCGTGCACATGCAAGCCGGCCAGTGCGGGAATCAGATTGGAGCCAAGGTATCATGGAAAAGCGGGGGCAAGGGGATCTAGTGGGGAGGATCTATTGTGGAGACCAGCCGTGTCGTTTCCTTTTCTTGCGTCACCGATGAAAGGCATTAATCGCCGCCTAAGAATTAAGCTGAAGGATTGGTGGGGGGCAGAGCACTAGGAAAAATCTCCCCGGGGTTATGTCTACGCATAGCTGTCAACTTTTCCCTTTTTAAAAAGGGAAATTCACTTATTCCGAATAGGATTCCTCGTAAGAAAAGGGAAAAGTTGACAGCTGTGCGTCCACGATGCGTCTCCTCTTTCGTAAAGCCTCGGATGCGACGACCATCTTTCTCTGCCCCTCCCTGCCGCTTCATAGGGCAGATCTTGCGGGAAACAATAAAGGCCTTCGCTTTCCGTCGGGGCCAGATCCGTCTCACACAGTGTTAGAACTAGCAGTAATCCTGTTATAACGGCAAGCTTTTAGGTTGCCTCGCCCCTCTGCAGAGGATGCAGTCTGGATTTGGAGCAGCGTTCAAGCTGGTTGGGTGCGTGCGTAATGGTGCAAAGCCGGAAGCCAATTGGCTTCTTTCTTTGTTAAACAAGTCCCTCCCCTCTTCCCCCAACAGTATGTCCATCCGTGAAATCTAACATCCTGCCTTCCTATGCCCTGTTGGCATTGCTTTGTGTGAAGGGAATCTGTCTCGTCATGGCGCAATGGATCATGTGCTTGCAGTATGGTGGCCAAGGTGTGGCCGCGGCAGCTGCACGTGTTTAGTCATGCTTCCTCGTGGCACTTGCTAAATCGCTCTGCAAAATTCCCGTTTCAGTTCTGGGAGGTCATCAGCGACGAGCACGGCATTGACCCGACAGGCAGCTACCATGGAGACAGCGACCTGCAGCTTGAGAGGATCAACGTCTACTACAATGAAGCTGCCGGTAAAAATGGAGCGCGTGTCTTTTTAAGGAAGTGCTTCTAGCTGCCTCCGGATATGAAGTCTGTTGCCCATTTTTAGAAATCTTGATTGATAGATTGCACGGCTTCCAACTAATTAAATCTGCAGATAAATACACAGTTCTTGCAAAGAGCCTTTTTTATTTTTATAAACAGATGCTCTTCCTATTTTTGGTGTCCAGCCCCACCTTAGAAGAATTTCCTTCTGTGTGAGGGGAAGAGGCAGAATTTCTTTGTTCTAAGGTGCAGTCTGCCTGCCATAAGCTCCCTAATTATGTGTTTTCAAACTAAAAATACAGACTTGGGAAGGAGAAGAAAAATGCACACCTGGCCAGTAAACTGGGGCTGTATTAAAGGATTTAAAATTTCTCCATCTGTTTGGGGTGGGGGCAGAAAAGGTATTAAAGTAATGAAAACAGTTTTTTTGCGGGGGTGGGGAAGGCATTGACATTGTTGCTTCTGGATGTCGAAGGTTATTTGATTTCTGTAATTGAAAGTGAATAACCTTGTAATTACGGACAGGGTGGCGCTGTGGGTTAAACCACAGAGCCTAGGACTTGCTGATCAGAAGGTTGGCGGTTCGAATCCCCATGACGGGGTGAGCTCCCGTTGCTCGGTCCCTACTCCTGCCAACCTAGCAGTTTGAAAGCACGTCAAAATGCAAGTAGATAAAGAGGTACCGCTCCGGTGGGAAGGTAAACGGCATTTCCGTGCACTGCTCTGGTTCGCCAGAAGCGGCTTAGTCATGCTGGCCACATGACCTGGAAGCTGTACACCGGCTCCCTCGGCCAATAAAGCGAGATGAGCGCCGCAACCCCAGAGTCAGCCACGACTGCACCTAATGGTCAGGGGTCCCTTTACCTTTACCTTTAACCTTGTAATAATATAACTTTGCAGACAAAACTTTCCATGGGTATCTATGAAGTACAGGTGGGGAAGTGACTCTGGCTGCTGTGGTCTCTATGCACACATGTATATGAACACACAGGCCAACCTTGACAGGTGAGCAGGACGTACCACCTGCCAATCACTGGATGTCAGGTGATAATACTAATTTATTATAACCCACCCATCTGGCTGTATTTCCCCAGCCACTCTGGGCGGCTCCCAACAGAAAATTAAAAACATGGTTAAAGATCAAATATTAAAAACTTTCCTAAACAGGGTTGCCTTCAGATGTCTTCTAAAAGATACACTGGTACCTCTACATAACTACACCTCTGGTTGCGTATCTTTCAGGATGCGAACATGGCAAACCCGGAAGTATTTTTTCTGGGTTTCACCATGCACGCATGCGCAAAAGCGGCACGCTGGGTTGAGATATAAAATTCTTTCCTGAGTAACGCTGAGGGTTGCCAGGAGCCCAGTAGACTGCAGATAATTTAATGAGGTCACTGCATTCATAAATCTTTTGTTCTCCCTGCAGGCAACAAGTATGTTCCCCGTGCCATCCTTGTGGACTTGGAGCCTGGCACAATGGATTCTGTCCGGTCTGGACCATTCGGCCAAATCTTTCGGCCTGACAATTTCGTCTTTGGTATGTAATACTCTTTCGGTGACTGTAGTCTCTGTTCTTGACAGGCACTCAATGTATCTTGAAGCAGCTGCTGGATTGCTCATACCTATTCTTTCCAAATGTTCTGCGATTATCATCCCTATGCAAAACAACTGACTTCTGCCTGTCCTGGGAGACACTTGAATTCAACTATGAGGAGTGTTTGACTAATCCTATACACTCCCTGTAACATTTGATCATGTACTGAAACAAGGGCAAGGCTAGTTATGCCAGGTGGCAGAAAGGTGGTACATCTCCAGGTATACGCAATAGGTGATGTGGTACAAAGATCTCTCCTTCCTCTGAGCCAGTTTCATCATCCCCTACCCTCAAATTGCCAAAGGTACGATAGCTCATGATATTTGATCCAATGTACTTTTTCAGAGCTGGGTCTTTAAACACTATACAGTCATACCTTGGTTTGAATGTGCTTCGGGTAGAGCGCGTTCGAGTTGCGCTCCGTGGCAACCCGGAAGTAACAGAGCATGTTACTTCCGGGTTTCGCCACTCGCCGACGCTCAAAATGACGTCACGCGCATGCGCGGAAGCGGCAAAATACGACACGCGCAGACCTGTCGCTTGTTACATTCACTTCAGGATGCGAACGGGGCTCCGGAACGGATCCCGAGGTACCACTGTATTTGAGAACCAGAGGGAAGTAAACCGGTTTTGTAGTCTGGGTCTGGACACTGCTTATAAAAGGAACAGTTGGACCAGATCATGATGCCATTAGCAGATAGAAATCAATAGTTGCCATGTTTCTGTATCCTTGTCTTTCTGCTTCTAGGCCAGAGTGGTGCTGGGAATAACTGGGCCAAGGGCCACTACACAGAGGGAGCTGAGCTGGTGGACTCTGTGCTGGATGTGGTAAGGAAGGAGTCGGAGAACTGTGACTGCTTGCAGGGCTTCCAGTTGACCCATTCCCTGGGTGGCGGCACAGGCTCCGGACTGGGGACGCTCCTCATCAGCAAGATTCGGGAGGAGTATCCTGACAGGATCATGAACACATTCAGCGTGATGCCGTCCCCTAAAGTGTCAGACACGGTGGTGGAGCCCTACAATGCCACGCTGTCCGTCCACCAGCTGGTGGAGAACACAGATGAAACCTACTGTATTGACAATGAGGCCTTGTACGATATCTGCTTCCGCACTCTCAAGCTCACGACTCCGACGTACGGGGACCTCAACCACTTGGTTTCGGCCACCATGAGCGGCGTCACCACCTGCCTGCGGTTCCCTGGCCAACTGAATGCCGACCTCCGCAAGCTGGCGGTCAACATGGTGCCATTCCCTCGCCTGCACTTCTTCATGCCCGGTTTTGCTCCCCTCACGAGCCGCGGAAGCCAGCAGTACCGGGCTGTGTCGGTGCCAGAGCTGACCCAGCAATTGTTTGATTCCAAGAACATGATGGCGGCCTGTGACCCGCGCCACGGGCGCTACCTGACGGTGGCGGCCATTTTCCGGGGCAGAATGTCCATGAAGGAAGTGGACGAGCAGATGCTCAACGTCCAGAACAAGAACAGCAGCTACTTTGTCGAGTGGATCCCCAACAACGTGAAGACGGCCGTGTGCGACATCCCTCCGCGAGGCCTCAAGATGTCCGCCACCTTCATTGGCAACAGCACGGCCATCCAGGAGCTGTTCAAGAGGATCTCTGAGCAGTTCACGGCCATGTTCCGCCGAAAGGCCTTCCTGCACTGGTACACTGGAGAGGGCATGGATGAGATGGAGTTCACGGAGGCCGAGAGCAACATGAACGACCTGGTCTCCGAATACCAGCAATATCAAGACGCCACAGCGGACGAGCAAGGAGAGTTTGAAGAGGAAGGCGAGGAGGACGAGGCTTAGGATGGCGGTGGTTTAGGGGCCAGTGTTTTGGGGCACAGTCTGTTCAGCTCTGCTGCTGCATGCTTTTTCAGTTCAACTTGGTGCTTTCACTGTTGATTTCCTCATTGCCCAAACCCTTTGATTTGGAAGCACTTTTATAGGTCGTGAAAACATTTCAACATAATAATGAAAAGTGGGTGCTCTCCACACTTTAAATTGGGGCTAAAAGTAAACTTTGTAACTTTTACCCTTAAGAATATACTTCCTTCCTTGTTAAGACAACTGTTGTCCTTCAGCTGTATGTGTAAAGCTATTGATCACACCATTGTACTGCAGCTGTTTTATAAAAATTATAAATTTATATACATTGTAAACTCATATAAATTTATAATTATTATAAATTTTTGCAGAGGTTACTTATAATTGATCTGAAATAAAGACTTCTCTGCTGCTCCATAGACAAGGAAGCTAACTACACATTCCATATTGAAAATTCAGGAATCTAGAAATAGTAGTTTGGATCCCATTGAGGAACAACCTGAGAACACCTCTACACAATTTGTAAAATATTTAGATCATTATGCTCTCCTTGGGGTGGTAACACTATGTTAAAAGATAATGTTGATTGTCAGGCTTCTTGGTGTGTTTCCTAATTGAGTGACGAGGGACCTTTAGTCTTCCAGATGTTGTTGGACTCCAACTCCCATCAGCCCCAGGGAGAATGGCGAGTGGGAGTTTTAGTCCAACATCACTTGGAAGCTCACAGAATCCACATCCCTATTTAAGGAAGCTGCAGTATACTTTGAAGACAATGGCAAGAAACATGTTTTCAACAGTGTCATCATAAGTCTAAAGCCTAAATTGTCCTGAAATTAAGGAGTACTGTTGTCCATTGAAAGTAAGTTGCTACTCTAACCCTAATTGATGCAACAAGAATTACAGTACAAATTTTATTTTTCCTGCACATGGTCCCTCAATAGAGGTGGTGTCTAAGTAACTGGTCTAACACTACTCAATTTAGGAACTGCACTCCATGTTCATTAGTGAGGAATTGTTTTCTTTTGTAATTAATTTACTCAAGTTTTTTTATACATATAAAAAAATCCTAATCACACTCATCTTCAAAGAGGAGAGTCAAGACCTCAGCCTAAAACCAATTTCTTGAAGGTGTGGTAAATGATTATCATAATTACAGGAAAACAAGATTGGGCCTGTGCCTCTGAAGCTTCCTGAGAACGCAGAAGATTGCGGCCAGTGATGGTAAGACTTGAGGATGTCCTTCAGATCACTACAGGCACCTGGAACCTTGGAGGAGTGGCTGCTGCGAATATAATTTGCTGAGACAATGTGCGGAACCTGCCTGTTTAACCGAGGAAGAGTCAAGATCTGTCCTTTCGCTCTCCACAGACGAGTTTTCCTTCATGCTGTTCTGCTGCTGCAGGGTAAAAAGAAAGAAAGAAAGATATGGTTTCCTTCACCAGCTTCCTAGGACTGGGACAGGAACCTATTTTTCTGCAATCCCTAGAGCAGGCATGTCCAACTCCCAAGAGACTGCGATGTACTCCAACTATTAAAAAACTGGCAGCGATCTACCCATTGGATTAACCAAAGTTGTTGAGCTTTTTTCTCTTTTTTCCTTTTTGGGTGATCGATCAGGATCATACCCTGCAATCGATCAGTTGGAATTGCCTCCCCTGGGAATATGGGGGGGGGGCAGTGTTTCCCAAACTTGGGTCTCCAGTTGCTCTTGGACTTCAACTCCCATCATCCCTAGCTAGCAGAATCAGCCGTCGGATATGATGATAATTGTAGACCAAAAACAACTGGCGACCCATGTTTGGGAAACCCTGTACTAAATGAACAAATGCCTTATTCAGGGTGGAATTTGGAAAATGTGGTAGTAAAGGACTGAAACAGCTTTCTAAATGAGGGTTAATAAACTAGCCCTTTTGGCCTATGCTTGTTCTTTTTTAAAGGAGCTAAACACACTCAAGAGCCCCTGAAATATATATATATTTCAATGCTAATACCCCCAACAATAACAAAAACATCTTTCTTCACCTTGTGCACGTTTGGAGGTGGCTGACCAAAATCTGCTGGGTTGTCATCTATTCAGTTTTTTAACCCAGAACTTGAATTCTCATCCCAATAGCTCCCTTGTGAGGACAATGTCTGGGATTCTTTAGCTGTGGTTCCTGCATTGCAGGGGGTTTGACTAGATGACCCTTTGCCTAAATCCTCCAGTTCTACAACTATTTGGCTTTGTCAAGCCCAGCATCTGATGCATTGGTGACATGCACACGTTAACTGAACATCTAAAGGAAACCAACTTTGTAAAATGCAGGGCAGGAGAGAGAGGAGTGGCACCACTTTTAATGGGGTATTTTCATCTGGAGCATCAGTAGAGGAATTAGGTTCCCTTTCCCCAAATTCCCTTAAAGCATTTCTAAATCTAAAGCGATACCATGTTCGGAATCCTGTGATCAACAGGCCTCACACCTGCAATCCACAGAACTGAGTGTACCAGTGTTCATGCTCTTCTCAACAGCCTACAAGGGATCACGCTGGGTGGGACACAGCCAAGAACCACTCCTCCATCTCCTCAGGTCCTTATCTTTTCCTTTGAAGTACCACATTTCATTGTCCCTGTGAAAACATTTTGAATATAAAAATTTGCCTTTCAATCATCAGGAGGGCCAGAGTGAAATATAAAATACATTAGTAGTAACAAAAAAACTATGACACATTTCCACTGATTTAGTACTCCATTCTTAAGAACTAAGCAATACAGTAGTACCTTGGTTTTAGAACAGCTTAGTTTATGAACAACTTGGAAATAGAACGCTGAAAACCCAGAAGGTGGGAGCAGGTTAGTGTCTCACAACGCATGCTAAAAACTTGCTCTTTTTCTTAACGAAGGGGGTTATGATTTTTTGGAGGAAGATGCCCTTGCTGCCACATGGATGCTCATGGATCTCGGGAATCTTGCATGCATCGCGCAATGAGGCACCAAATGTGGAATGGTGCTGCAGAGCCACATCTCTGCGTGTGTCCCTGATGTTCAGATATTAAGTGCGGGTGTCTTCAAAGGAAAGCTGATGTGCAGAGCCTTTCCTGGGTAGAGGCAATGAGGTGCTTGTCCCTTGGTACGCACAGGGAATAAATTTGCACACAACACCAAGGAGAGCTGCAAAAATATACGCTGATTTTCAAGGTATGGTCTCTTGGGCAGAAGGGACTTCTGGGTGATCCCTCAAAGGAACCTTTCATCTCCTGGCAATTTCAGCAAACAAAAAGTAACAAATCATTAAAATCGAACAGCTCATTAAGGAGAGCTGTCTATAAGCACTAAATAGTTTGTTGTTCAACAGGACTCCATGGCCTTTTTTGTAATTTAAGTTTGAAAATGCAGGAAATTAGAAGGCAGATGGGATAAAATGGAGGGTGGGAGAAGATCCAAAGAAAGAAGAATGGCAGTTAAGGTGATGGGAGTATGCAGAATCAGTGGGTCTAACCAGCAGAATAGGAGAATTATGGGGAAATAATTGTAAACAAGTGAAAACGCTAGCAGGATTAAGGTAAATTCAACAGTAAAAATCATGCTGAGGTAATATTTAAAGTGGGGGGGGCGGACGATTTAGATGGTTAGAATAGAATATGCAGTAATGATGGGAAACTTGAACCATGGGAGCTGAAGAAGGGACGCCAATGATTGCATTATTTTATTGGTGAAAGCATAATTCTGGAAAATAAACTTTCAATAAAAAATATTTATTTTTGAAGAGAAAGCAGATGTGATAAGTAAAACCAAGGCGATATGACTAAAAAAATTATTAAAATGATTAAAAGCACAACCTTTTAAATATGCCTCTTTGAGCTCTTAAACTAGGCATGTTGGCTGACAGAAGCTAAACAGCCAAGAAGAAGAAGATATGCAGCTAAGTACTGTTGCCTGTCACCCCAATCTCCAAGAGGTGTGAGAGTCCAGGGGTTTCAGACGCTTACCCAGGGTCCGGGTTTCCTACTGGAAATGAGGCGCAGCAGAGACTGTGGTGTCTTTTGTGGGATGTATCATCACGGAAGCCATCGACTACAACATTTCCTGTTGCCTAGAGTGGACACACAGGGGAATGTTACTCCAGACAGGGAGGACTTCCTGTCATACCTGCTCGCATGAGTGAGGAGGGATAATCCTTAATCAATATGTCCTCTCCTACTTTCCTCAACATTCCCACACCCTTATTTACATATATACACAACCTGAGCATACGATTAACACACAAAAGGGTCTTGTTTCTCCGATAGCTGCAGCCTTGGATTCAAGCAGAAATCAGCCATGACACTCTACTTGCTGTTTTTTCTCCAGTTTCTCGCTCACATCACAGCCTGCTCTGAAATTCTACTTCAAACTCTGCCTTGTCTTCAAATTCACTCTGAGTTGAAGGAGGGGCCCTTTCTATTTGCCCTCTGACACAGAGCTCCCTCTCTTTGTTTACCTAATGGCTCGTTACCTTCCCTTTGTTCTCTAAATAGCTCATCAGGAAACAGGCCTGGCTTATTTTTTAACATTTACTGGACCCAGGAATTTAGGGAAGTCTGGTCCCCACAAACCCATAACACTATGTTCTGTCCAGAGGCCCCAAGGAATATGCTGCATCTCCACACAGCGCTAGAGATGGCCACGATCATAGATGCACATGAACCTCAGCAGAGGTGGGGAGCACTCGGCTCACACCCACATGGAACTAAGAGTATGAGAGAGAGAGGGAAGGAAGAAACATTGGCAATGGGGAGACAGCACACTACACAACAAAAAAGAAAGGCAGTCATACAACAGGTGTGTTCCAAAATCTCTACTAGTCCCTTGACATGTTACTCTCTGGGCACAATAATAATAATAATAATAATAATTTATTATTTATACCCCGCCCATCTGGCTGGGCTTCCCCGGCCACTCTGGGCGGCTTCCAAAAGAATATTAAAATACTATAATACATCAAACATTAAAAGCTTCCCGAAACAGGGCTGCCTTCAGATGTCTTCTAAAAGCCTGGTAGTTGTTGTTCTCTTTGACATCTGGTGGGAGGGTGTTCCACAGGGAAGGCGCCACTACCGAGAAGGCCCTCTGCCTGGTTCCCTGTAACTTGGCTTCTCGCAGTGAGGGAGCTGCCAGAAGGCCCTCGGTGCTGGACCTCAGTGTCCGGGTAGAACAATGGGGGTGGAGACGCTCCTTCAGATATACTGGACCAAGGCCGTTTAGGGCTTTAAAGGTCAGCACCAACACTTTGAATTGTGCTCGGAAACGTACTGGGAGCCAATGCAGATCTCTCAGGTGTTATGTGGTCCCAGCGGCCAGTCCCAGTCACCAGTCTAGCTGCCGCATTCTGGATTAGTTGTAGTTTCCGGGTCACCTTCAAAGGTAGCCCCACGTAGAGCGCATTGCAGTAATCCAAGCGGGAGATAACCAGAGCATGCACCACTCCGGCGAGGCAGTCCGCAGGCAGATAGGGTCTCAGCCTGCGTACCAGATGGAGCTGGTAAACAGCTGCCCTGGACACAGATTTGGCCTGTGCCTCCATGGACAGCTGTGAGTCCAAAATGACTCCCAGGCTGCGCACCTGGTCCTTCAGGGGCACAGTTACCCCATTCAGGACCAGGGAATCCTCCACACCTGCCCGCCTCCTGTCCCCCAAAAACAGTACTTCTGTCTTGTCAGGATTCAACCTCAATCTGTTAGCCGCCATCCAACCTCCAACCGCCTCCAGGCACTCACACAGGACCTTCACTGCCTTCACTGGTTCTGATTTGAAAGAGAGGTAGAGCTGGGTATCATCCGCATACTGATGAACACCCAGCCCAAATCCCCTGATCTCCCCACTGAGAGTCCCACTCAGTCACAACCAAAGGTGAAAAGACCAATTACCCCACATTAGTAAACAAAAAAAGGGGGCTACAATCCTAAGGATAGTTTATTGGATGGAAGTCTTGACACAGAAGAGGAAGGCTATGGGAGCCTGATTATGTCATTGCTTCCACAACTGCATTGAAAGGTAGGTAGGCTAAGTCTCAAACTACCTGGTCAAGGTTGCTACCACCCCCTTCTTCACAGATAGGAGGGAATTGTGGGATATAAAAGAAATCGCTTATAAAGGGACTTGCAGACTGTGTGCCCTGCACTTGTCAGCCAAATCCCCCTCAAGTTATCGGGGAAACAGCTGCTTTTCCTACTCTACAGCCTGCTCTTTTCTCACTCTTTCATCAGAGTAGTATGAACCAGCAGCTAGGCATTTCCCCAGCAGCGTGAGTCGTTTCTTAACAATCCCACATTCTTTTATAGTCGGCGATGCCCACTCATTGGATGGAGCAGGATGTGAAAAGGCTGGGTGGGGGAGGGAAAAATCGGAGATTTCTGACCGCAGCAGAAAAACGCAACCCTTAGACTGAGCTCCCGGGCCCACAGCAGTCTCTCTGGGGGAAATAAAACTTTCGAGCGCATCAAAATGGTTTCCGCTGCAGGCAGGTGCAAAAATAAAACCCCCGCTGAAAAGACCCAAAGCCGGCACAGCGAGGACCCGCTTTGCAATATTAGGGTCGCCTCGGGGCGAGGTCGGTCAAATCCAGGCCGCCGCCGCCGCCGCCCCGCCCCCTCCCTCTCTCGGGCGCGAGCAGCGGAGGCGTGAGCGAGAGACAAGGAGGCTTCTAGGTGCCTTTAGCCCCGCCCTGCGCCCGGCCGGGAAGGGAAGGGGCGGAGCCACGCGCTCCCACTATAAAGGAGCCCTCGGGGGGAGGGGGGAGGCGCGCCCTTGTTTTCTGCTTCTGTCGTCTAGAGTGTAAGGCGCAGCTTTTTCTTTCCGGAAGGTAGCAAGCGGGTGATCGCCTGAAACAAAGTCGCAGCCATGCGGGAGATCGTGCACATGCAAGCCGGCCAGTGCGGGAATCAGATTGGAGCCAAGGTATCATGGGAAAGCGGGGGCAAGGGAATCTGGTGGGGGGGATCTATTGTTGGTAAGAGCCCAGTGTGTGGGGACCAGCCGTGTCGTTTCCTTTTCTTAGAATAATAATAATAATTAATAATAAATTTACTATTTATGCCCCGCCCATCTGGCTGAGTTTCCCCAGCCACTCTTGCGTCTCCAAATGAAAGGCATTAATCGCCACCTAAGAATTAAGCTGAAGGATTGGGGGAAGGCAAAGCACTAGGAAAACCCTCCCCGGGGTTATGTCTACGGTGCGCCTCCTCTTTCGCAAGCCTCGGATACACAGACCATTTTCCCCTGCCGCTTCATAGGGCAGATCTTGCGGGAAACAATAAAGGCCTTCGCTTTCCATCGGGGCCAGATCTGTCTCACACAGTTGCAGCAATCCAGTTATAACGATAAGCTTTTAGGTTGCCTCGCCCCTCTGCAAAGGATGCAGCCTGTATCTGAAGCAGCGTGATGGTGCAAAGCCGGAAACCAATTGGCTTCTTTCTTTGTTAAACAAGCCCTCCCCCAACAGTATGTCCATCCGTGAAATTTAACAATCCTGCCTTCTTATGCCCTGTTGGCATTGCTTTGTGTGAAGGGAATCTGTCTCGTCATGGCGCAGAGGATCATGTGCTTGCAGTATGGTGGCTAAGGTGTGGCCGCAGCAGCTGCACGTGTTAAGCCATGCTTCCTCGTCGCACTTGCTAAATTGCTCTGCAAAATTCCCATTTCAGTTCTGGGAGGTCATCAGCGACGAGCACGGCATTGACCCGACAGGCAGCTACCATGGAGACAGCGACCTGCAGCTTGAGAGGATCAACGTCTACTACAATGAAGCTGCCGGTAAAAATGGAGCGCTTGTCTTTTTAAGGAAGTGCTTCTAGCTGTCTGCCTCCGGAAATAAGTCTGTTGCCCATTTACAGAAATCTTGATTGATAGATTGCACGGCTTCCAACTAATTAAATCTGCAGATAAATACGCAGTTCTTGCAAAGAGCCTTTTTTATTTTTATAAACAGATGCTATTCACATTTTTGTGTCTAGCCCCACCTTAGAAGAATTTCCTTCTGTGTGAGGGGAATGGGAAGAATTTCTTTGTTCTAAGACGCAGCCTGCCTGCCATAAGCTCCCTAATTATGTGTTTTCAAACACAGGGTTTTTTGCTTGGGAGGGGAAACATTGACATTGTTGCTTCTGGATGTCAAAGGTTATTTATGATTTCTGCAATTGAAAATAAATAACCTTGTAATAATAAAACTTCGCAGACAAAATTTTCCATGGGTACCTATGAAGTACAGGTGGGGAAGTGGCTCTGGCTGCTGTGGTCTATGCACACATGCACACACACACACACACACACACACACGCCAACCTTGACAGGTGAGCAGGACGTACCACCTGCCAATCACCAGATGTCGGGTGATAATAATAATTTATTATACCCCGCCCATATGGCTGTATTTCCCCAGCCACTCTGGGCGACTCCCAGCAGAACATTAAAGACATGGCAAAAGATGAAATATTAAAAACTTTCCCTAAGCAGGGCTGCTTTCAGGTGTCTTACATCAGATAGTTGCTTATTTCCTTGACATCTGATGGGAGGGCATTCCACAGGGAGGGCACCACCGTGAAGGCCCTCTGTCTGGTTACCTGCAACCTCACTTCTCGCAGGGAGGGAACTGCCAGAAGGCCCTCGGAGCTGAACCTCAGTGTCCAGGTTGAACAATGGGGCTGGAGACGCTCCTTCAGGTATACTGGGCCAAGGCTGTTTAGGGCTTTAAAGATCAGCACCAACACTTTGAATTGTGCTTGGATACGTAATAAGACCCCTGACTTATTTCAAAGGGGATTGCGGTAACAGCTGATGGGCCACAACTTAGCTGGGTGGGCTATGGGGAGGGACCAGTTCAGTGGTAGAGCAGGTGCATCTCAAGTTAAAAGGACTGGATAGTGGGTGATGTGAAAGACCTGGCAGACGAGGGGAGAATGATGCTTTCTTTCCTCTGGGCTTGTACAAAGGTGTCGCTATGTAAAGGCATAACCGAGGCTAGAGCATGATTAAGGCCTGTTTTCTGAAGCTGATGCCAGAAACCTGCTTTCTTTGTACGGTTGATTTTGCTGACTAAATACCTTAGAGAATAGCGGTTGACAGCGGTTGCCATTGAAAATCTGTTCACAATAAGTGCTGCTACTTGATATAAAATTCTTTTCAGAGTAACGCTGAGGGTTGCCAAGAGCACAGTAGACTGCAGATAATTTAACAAGGTCACTGCATCCATAAATCTTTCTTTTGTTCTCCCTGCAGGCAACAAGTATGTCCCCCGTGCAGTCCTGGTGGACTTGGAGCCTGGCACAATGGATTCGGTCCGGTCTGGACCATTCGGCCAGATCTTTCGGCCTGACAATTTTGTCTTTGGTATGTAATATTCTTTTGGTGACTGTAGTCTCCCTTCTTGACAGGAGCGCAATGTATCTTGTCATTCCAAATGTTCTGCAGATCTCATCCCTATGCAAAACAGCTGACTCTTCTGCCTGTCCTGGGAGCCACTTGAATTCAGCTATGAGGAATGTTTGACTAATCCTATACATTCTCCCTATAACTTTTGATCATGTACTGAAACAAGGGCAAGGCTAGTTCTGCCAGTTGGCAGAAAGGTGGCACATCTCCAGGTATATGCAGTAGGTGAAGTGGTAGAAAGATCTGACCTTCCTCTGAGTTTCATCATCCCCTACCCCTCAAATTGCCAAAGGTACAAAAGCCCATGATATTTGAGCCAATGTACTTTTCCAGAGTTGGGTCTTTAAACACTATATCTGAGAACCAGAGGAAAATAAACTGGTTTTGTGGGCTGGGGCTGGACATGGCTTATAAGAGGAACAGTTGGACCAGAAATCAATAATTGCCAATTTGTTTCTTTATCCTTGTATTTCTGCTTCTTCCTTTAGGCCAGAGTGGTGCTGGGAATAACTGGGCCAAGGGCCACTACACAGAGGGAGCTGAGCTGGTGGACTCTGTGCTGGATGTGGTAAGGAAGGAGTCTGAGAGTTGCGACTGCTTGCAGGGCTTTCAGCTGACCCATTCCCTGGGTGGTGGCACGGGCTCCGGGATGGGGACGCTCCTCATCAGCAAGATCCGGGAGGAGTATCCCGACCGGATCATGAACACGTTCAGTGTGATGCCGTCCCCTAAGGTGTCGGACACAGTGGTGGAGCCCTACAATGCCACGCTGTCCGTCCACCAGCTGGTGGAGAACACGGATGAAACCTTCTGTATTGACAATGAGGCCTTGTACGATATCTGCTTCCGCACACTCAAACTCACCACTCCGACGTACGGGGACCTCAACCACTTGGTTTCGGCCACCATGAGCGGCGTCACCACCTGCCTGCGGTTCCCTGGCCAACTGAATGCCGACCTCCGCAAGCTGGCGGTCAACATGGTGCCCTTCCCTCGCCTGCACTTCTTCATGCCCGGCTTTGCTCCCCTCACGAGCCGCGGAAGCCAGCAGTACCGGGCCGTGTCAGTGCCAGAGCTGACCCAGCAATTGTTTGATTCCAAGAACATGATGGCGGCCTGTGACCCACGCCACGGGCGCTACCTGACGGTGGCGGCCATTTTCCGAGGCAGAATGTCCATGAAGGAAGTGGACGAGCAGATGCTGAACGTCCAGAACAAGAACAGCAGCTACTTTGTCGAGTGGATCCCCAACAACGTGAAGACGGCCGTGTGCGACATCCCTCCGCGAGGCCTCAAGATGTCCGCCACCTTCATTGGCAACAGCACGGCCATCCAGGAGCTGTTCAAGAGGATCTCTGAGCAGTTCACGGCCATGTTCCGCCGAAAGGCCTTCCTTCACTGGTACACCGGAGAGGGCATGGATGAGATGGAGTTCACGGAGGCCGAGAGCAACATGAACGACCTGGTCTCCGAATACCAGCAATATCAAGACGCCACAGCGGACGAGCAAGGAGAGTTTGAGGAGGAAGGCGAGGAGGACGAGGCTTAGGATGGCGGTGGTTTAGGGGCCAGTGTTTTGGGGCACAGTCTGTTCAGCTCTGCTGCTGCATGCTTTTTCAGTTCAACTTGGTGCTTTCACTGTTGATTTCCTCATTGCCCAAACCCTTTGATTTGGAAGCACTTTTATAGGTCATGAAAGCATTTCACCATAATAATGAAAAATGGGTCCTATGAAGCTGAAAGTGAACTTTGTAAACTTTACCCTTAAAAATATATTTACTTCCTTATTAAGACAACTGTTGTCGTTCAGCCAATTGGGAAAGCTATTGATCACACCATTGTACTGCAGCTGTTTTATAAAAATTATAAATTTATATAAATTTATAATTGTTATAAATTTTTGCAGAGGTTACCTATATCAAACGTTATCTGAAATAGACTTCTCAGCTGCTCCATAGACAAGGAAGCTAGCTACACAAGCCATATTGAAAATTCAGGAATCTAGAAATAGTAGTTTGGAAGGCCATTGAGGAACAACCTGAGAACACCTCTTCACATTTTGCAAGCATGAAAGAGAAGAAATTCGTAGAGCAGCTTCCCCTAACCTGGCCCTTCTATCTGTTTTGGATTACACCACCACTAGGCCTAGTTGGAGAAGGACGCTCTACCAAATTCTAGAGGTGTATGCTCAGCTAATTTTGGATATTCCCTGCCCTCAAAAAATGTCCTTGTATTGCCACAATGCACAGTATAGAAATTTGCAACCTGAATTGTGTGTTAGATGTTTGACAGTTTAAATTTTAATTGCAACATTTGCGGTTGTTGCGCTGCATACCTCAAAGGATGCAGATACTTAAATCATGACTGATTCATGGATAACTTTTTCTTCAGAGGGAGGAGTTTGCCACTGAGTTGTACAGTTTATCTTCAGTTCCATAGTTAGATTATATTTGGGGTATTAATTGCTCAATGACGTATGTCTCATGTTCCCTAAAAAAAATCTGGCTTTTAAACCTTTCCATTTTAAGAGAATAAAAAGCTTGAAAATGAGGGGGGAAAGCAGCAAGAAGACTACAAATAGAGCTGGCATGGATTCTGATAGCAGTGATAAAGCACGTTTTTTGTGGCATTTTTGTGTAAACATTAAGAATCTGTCATGAACTCAAACTGTTCAATGGTTTTTGTGTGGTGTTAAATATTGAGGACTCTATAAAGGCATGTGCTCTGAATAATGACTGTTTTCTTCAAGATAGATCATATTGTACATCTATTAAAACTAATGCACTTCCCAATGTTCCTTTTAAAGTTGCTAAGAAACACGAGCAGTCCTTAATAGCCAAAAGGCAGATTTTAATGCTCATTTAAGTGTAAAAACCCCGAAAGGTTAAGATACAGCCAAACTGTTGACATGAGAAGCATGTTACAACTTTGGTGCAATAACAGGAAGAAATTTGATTCCCTTTCTCTCCCCCATACCAGATAATTAAAGTGGACTTATCATCCTGTCCGTCCCATGAGTAGGAACAGCAAAGAAACTGTTGCTTATCAATTATTATTATTATTTATTGAATTTCTACACTGCTCTATACCCATAGATCTCAGGGTGGTTCAGTAACAACTGGCAACATTTCATAGAAGAAACTTTTCCACCACTCTGTTAAATTCGTCTGCAAAGCGTAGGTGCAAATTATGTTTTCCTTCCGGCATCAAATGCAACCTGAAACAAAAAACAAACAAACCACTGGATAAATTCTAGGTGTACAGGAAACACGGCAAGCATTTATTACTTAAACCTACACTCTGCCCAAGTGCATGCAAGAAGCCAGCTTGCTAGAAAGATTTGTATTTTCATATTTGGAATTGATATCTCAAAGCATCTGTGTCATAATTTATGGACATTCATGGAGGTGTCTGACTTTGAGCATGCTACAATTATTTCCCGGTCCATGCTCATCTTTTTCAAATGGACATGTCTAAAATAAAAAAAGCCTCTATGAAAAGAAGCAACATAATCTGCAGGACATGACTGCAGAGGAGTCATGTCATAGCAAAGTGTTATGAGCTGCTGTGGCCATTTCAACATTCAAAGCAAGCACTGAATTGTCAGGCTTATGTGCCTGTCCGACGTGGGCAAATTTGGAAACAAGTTTCAGTGAAACTTAAGCTCGCAGTCTTCGTTGTCTTACTATCTCTACAAAATTACTGGATTTTTAAAAATGATCCCTTAAGGATTGTTTTAGCAAGGTGGTTCATTTGAACTATGACAACATCACTGCGCTATTCACTGCAGAGCATTCAAGACAGCTATTTTGTAGCTGCTACAGTATAGATTGCTTCCATTGTACCATGTTCCATTAAAGACTTGCAGCATTTAGAGTTTTGAAACTGTTGCTAACAGTTTCTAACTTCCTAATGCCGGTGTCTAATTTTGGAAGCAGGTCCTTGAGTTTTCATCTCAAGTTACTGACCCCAGACGCTTTGCTGAATTGCAGAAAATTGCGAAATGAATTTTGTGCTGGCTGGTTCAAGTTGCTCTTTCTACTTGCGTTCAGAAATTGCATCTACTGTGCACAAATCTTTCCTATGGGATGGATCTGTCTGCTTGTGAGTATTTCTACAATATCGTGGCTGGAAGCATTCTTTCCAATGATTGCAGAAGCCTGCAAAGTGGTTCGTTCTGAGCAACTGGAGAAGCTTTTTAATCTGTTCACATAATTTTTAGCTTTAGTTTCTCCTGCCCACCTCCCCAAGAAAAACAGACTTACTGTGAACCCTTGATATGCTTGTGAAGATATTCAGGGTGAAAGCGTGGAACCAAGGGATCTTTTTCTCCGTGGATTATTAACGTTGGGCAGTGAATATGAGGCAGCAAAGACTGACAGATACTGCCTGGGGATGGGAAGTGGAAAAAAATGTCAAGATAATTTCCTTATTTATTTACTTTGAAATGGTAATATGCTTCACTGGGGAAATGTGATGCTAACACCACCTACTTCCTCCTTGCAAAGGAAGTGAAATAGTTGATTCTTCTGACTGCAAAAAAAATGGTTTAGTAGAAACTGGATCAGCAACAGGAATTACTACAATGGGAGCAATTCCATGAGTGCCAGTCTCTCTGATTCAGACAAAATTGCCAGGGTTTTCTTCCCCCTTCTCTCAGCATCTAGTTCTGAATTCTTAAGACAACCTGTTCAAGCATGTACTGATATTTGTACTTAAAAATATGTGTCAGAATTTTATTCTGCTTTTGTGGGCAGTTTGCTTCGGTTTCCTTTTATTCCCCATCACAAGTGTCGGCACTTATAAATCTTGAGTTAAATATGTCGACTCAGCTAATGCAGGCAGGATGTTTTGTGTTCTGCACACACAAAATAAATTAGGTTCCAAATAACCCAATTTACTGAGTTCTGTGACCTATACGCCACCCTGATACCATATACAGGTTTACAAAGAAAGGACAACATTACAGGAGTTTAAAAGATGTGCTGGCAAGGCCTGGGAACACTGAGAAAGTGTCATCAGGAAATTAAACAGTGGCTAATAATCTGAGTAGCCCTAATCTCCTGATCTGCATTGCTGGGGTGTGTGTGTTAGGCTATGGTGAAGGTGGAAATCTGTTAGTGGGGTGGGTGTGGGTCTTAATGGAAAGCATTAAGTGGTAGCCAGCAGAAAGGCCAGAAATGGTGTCAGGCTTGCAGATTCCCCCAAAGGAACCAATTCTCACTTCCTTTGGCTAGGCCAGCCTGGAACCGGTGCAGCAAATTTTTTTTCCCCACCTCTTCTCCCCTGGTTGTCAGAACCTGGGATGCGGTGGCTGATATGCCACTCTGCTTCTCGCCAGCTGGGACTGGGATAGTAATAATGCAGCTCTAGGTTTACCCAGAAGTCCGTCTCACTGAGTTCATTGGGGGCTGCTCCCAGAATATGTGGGTAGGAGATTGTAGCCAGCCTATTCTGTGCCCTCCAAGTGATTCGACCGCTTTGTCCTTGTTGTACTGAACAGCCATTAGCATTCAGAAAGCTTTTCTTTTTTAAAAAGAAAGCTCTGTTTTTTAAAAAAGCTCCTTGAAATTAGTCTCAAACGATTATTGCTTTTTTAAACTAAGACTGGCAATGATTGACTTAAGCAGACAAGTGTAAGCAGGGAATGTTAATTTTTTTCTGCAAGGTGGAGTAGAAAAGCAGAAATACCTTGTGTGCAATTAGGCAGTGTGTCATTTCCCCTGCAAGATGTTGCAACAGGCTTGCTTACTTAGAAAAGCAGAACCACGAGCAAAATGTACGGATCTGGCTAGCATGACGGTTATTTCAAGGTTGCAGAAGTGTTCAAATGGCAGTTCCTCATTTGCAGGTGGATTGCCAATCCAACTCTTAAGAGATTGATGGTGGTGAATCTGGATGTTTCCACCCCACCCCCCGCAATTCCTACTCTCAGCAGCTCAGAAGCTTCTTTCGCCTTGCAGGTAGCATGGTGCTTTTCCAACCAACTGTCACCAGTAAAAAACAAACTTCATATGACAAGGAAGGTAAAATGACAGCTGGGGAAACGGTCTGCACTTGAAAAGTTTATCCCATGGCAGCCCTGTGTCAAAAGGTAAAAGGTAAAGGACCCCTGGATGGTTAAGTCCAGTCAAAGGTGACTATGGGGTGCAGTGCTCATCTCGCTTTCAGGCCAAAGGAGCCGGCGTTTGTCCACAGACAGCTTTCTGGGTCATGTGGCCAGCAGGACTAAACTGCTTCTGGTGCAATGGGACACCATGACAGAAGCCAGAGCACATAGAAACGCCGTTTACCTTCCCATCGCAGCAGTACCTATTTATCTACTTGCACTGGTGTGCTTTCGAACTGCTCGGTTGGCAGGAGCTGGGACAGAGCAACGGGAGCTCACCCTGTCGCGGGGATTTGAACCGCAACCTTCCGATCGGCAAGCCCAAGAGGCTCAGTGGTTTAGACCACAGCGCTGCCCACATCCCAAAGGAACACACAATTGCGAGGGGAAGTTCATTCATAGCTGCTAAAGGAAGAGCCTCAGCTCTGATCTAAATAATCACTTGGTGAAACGTGGCTATAATCTATGGGAGGAGTTCAATGTCTGCTGAGGTGAATCAGTGCAAACATTTCAGCTGACAGGACATTCTGCCCACTCCTCAGTGCCGCTCTGGGGCTTTTCCTGACCCTACAAGCCAATTTGGGAAGTGGGATCATGAGGGAAGTGAAGGCAAGCCTCCATTGTGCTAATGGAAGCCCTTGTGTAGGCTTTTGCTAATGGAACAAATTAGTTAAATCTGACCCATTGTAATATTTCAGTTATTTTTAAATGATTGCATTTGTATCCCACCTTTTCCCTCTAATCCCACAAAGTCAGCATTAATTTTTAAATGCTGGAAGATTCCTGGGAAGAACGTTTGTGGATAAATATGATTCTGAGATACAGCGATGGATAATAGTGAACTGAAATGCAACAAAACAGGGCGGAGACATAAAGCTTATCATTGCCGGCCTCTCTATCTCTTTTTAGCTGCAGGATTTCTTACCATTTGGTTTTTGTGCAAACTGGGAGATTCCATCCACCCAGGCTGCGCAGGTTTTGCTAAAGTAATCGTGGCCATACATTTCTTCCATTGGCTGCCTGGCTCTTTCACTCCATTTTGAAACATCACGGATAGCTGCGGACAAGGGAATGAAATAATAATAATAATAATTTATTATTTATACCCCGCCCATCTGGCTGAGTTTCCCCAGCCACTCTGGGCAGCTCCCAATCAAATGTTAAAAACAGTACAGCATTAAATATTAAAAACTTCCCTAAACAGGGCTGCCTTCAGATGTCTTTTAAAGATAGGATAGCTGCTTATTTCCTTCACATCTGAAGGGAGGGTGTTCCACAGGGCGGGTGCCACTACTGAGAAGGCCCTCTCTGTCTGGTTCCCTGTAACCTCACTTCTCGCAATGAGGGAACCGCCAGAAGGCCCTCTGAGCTGGACCTCAGTGTCCGGGCTGAACGATGGGGGTGGAGACGCTCCTTCAGGTATACAGGACCAAGGCCGTTTAGGGCTTTAAAGGTCAGCACCAACACACTGAATTGTGCTCGGAAACGTACTGGGAGCCAATGCAGATCTCTCAGGTGTTATGTGGTCCCAGCGGCCAGTCCCAGTCACCAGTCTAGCTGCCGCATTCTGGATTAATTGCAGTTTCCGGGTCACCTTCAAAGGTAGCCTCACGTAGAGTGCATTGCAGTAGTCCAAGCGGGAGATAACTAGAGCATGCACCACTGGCGAGACAGTCCGCGGGCAGGTAGGGTCTCAGCCTGCGTACCAGGTGGAGCTGGTAGACAGCACCCTGGACGCAGAATTAACCTGCACCTCCATGGACAGCTGTGCTTCCAAAATGACTCCCAGGCTGCGCACCTGGTCCTTCAGGGGCACAGTTACCCCATTCAGGATCAGGGAATCCCCCACACCCGCCTGCCTCCTGTCCCCCCAAAACAGTACTTCTGTCTTGTCAGGATTCAACCATCCATCCTCCAACCGCCTCCAGGCGGAAATGTGTATGTTAAAAGAAGTATCAAAATCCTGTCTTATTATGGGGGAGCGGGGAACCTTTTGCAGCCCAAGGGCCTCAATGCCCTTCCATGGCTAACTTTTCAGAGCTTCATGCCAGCGGTGGGCAGGGTCAATGCAAATTGATTCACACAATTAAACATGAATCCAGCTCTATTCTAGTATTTTGAGAGAGACAGAACTTCTACCCACTTTCTCCAGATAATTTTAATACATCTTTATTATGCCCCCATTACTCACCTTCTTTCTAGGCTAAAAGGCACCAAACATCATAACCTTTCCCCACAATGGACTGGATTTAGCCCCACCCCTAATCATTTTGGTTGCACTTTTTCCAACTCTACTGTATCCTATCTTCGCTTCAGTAACTAGAACTGTACACAGTATTCCAAGGCTGTCTGCACCATAGATGGGTATGGTAACTGCATTTTCAATCTCTTTTGCGAACTAGAATTTCGCCATTTCCACAGCATTTACCGTATTTTTCGTTCTATAGGACGCACATTTTCCCCTCCAAAAATTAAGGGGAAATGTGTGTGCGTCCTATAGAGCGAATGCAGGCTGCGCCGCTAAGCCCAAAGCCAGAACAGGAAGACGGAGCACTGCGGAGCACTCCGTCTTGCTGCTCTAGCTTGGGGACGGCTGCGCGCAAACCTCTGCAGGGCAGCGGGGTGCCTTCACCCCGCTGTCCTGCAGAAGCTAGCAAGGCTGTTCTCAAGCCAGAACAGCGAGACGGAGGGCTCCATCCCGCTGCTCTAGCTTGGGGACGGCTGCGCGCAAACCTCTGCAGGGCAGCGGGGCGCTGCGCTCCAAAGGCTTCAGGGATCTTTGAGGCTGGCGGTGGGGGAAAGCAGCGCTTCCCCACCGCCAGCCCCTAAGCTCTGGTGAATGTACCTTGAACGCACCTTGTTTTAGAGGGGGAGAACAAGAAAAAAATTTTTTTCCTGTTCTCTCCCTCCTATGGTCCGGTGCGTCCTATGGTCCGGTGCGTCCAATGGAGCGAAAAATACGGTAAACACTGGATCAGCATTTAAATTGAGCTTTCCCTCACATCCTTCAATCCCTTTCTTGGTCAGTAACTGTTAGCTGGGGCCCCACCAGTGTATAATGTAGGGTTGGTAAAAATCCAGACATAGTTGTTGAGATTTGGGGGGGGCATTCACGCAATAGCCCCAATGCTGTCTGCCGCTGCCAAGCCCAAACCACTCGTGGCTGCAACAGAACCCAAGCTGCGCCAGAGGCTGAATCAGAGCCACCTGTGCACCCCCATTTTTTCTTTTTTATTTTTTTAATCCCAGACATTTGCTTTAAAACATAAATTTCCCTCCAGGTGGCCATGTACACCCCCCAATAGAGGACATGTCCTGGAATTTCTGGACATATGGCAATCCCAGTATAATGTGAAGTTAGGATATTTTGTTCCACAGTACTTCACTTGACCCTTACTCTGAGTTGCACTTGGCATTTTCTCATCCATTCATCCATTTTGGATAAATACAGTTCACTCTGCAATCCTTTTTTTTTTTTGTCTTTACTACCCCGAATAATTGGATGTCATTAGCGTATTGGCTGCCTCACTGCTCAACTTGGTCGTTTATGAATAAGCTAAAAGCACCAGCAACAATACAGCAGTATGTTAAGATCTCATCTCACTGCTAGAAGCTCTCACACTTAAATTTTTACAGAGTTTTTTTTAAATGTAGCAGAAAATGTGAAAATGTTTAGTTTTAAATTGAATTCTTTTTCTGCAGGGTTGTTAATTATAGTAGTTCCCCACCCCCACATTTAGGTTCAAGAGCAATTCAACTGTTCCTTAAAACAATTTTTTTCTTTTTTCTTTTTGTAACCACAATCCATGATACTTGATTCAAGAAGGCTTTTAATTCTATTTGCTGCTTATTCAACTGGTGCAAAACAATCTTTTTCTGATTTATCGTTAACTATTTAATAAGAAAAAAACAAGTATTGTAGGGAGCTGAACAGGTGGATAATCCATTTTCTCCTCACATATATTATGAGTACAATGGGAAAAGTTTTTCTTATAATAGACCATTATGATATTTTCATTGTAATGCATTTTTATTATATTGGAGCATTAAGTTTCACATTTAGTAACCAAGCTTCCTTTCTGACAGCTACGAATATAGCTGAATCGTGAATTCTTCGAGCTTACATTACTTCAATTTTTGAAATGTTTATGGTAGTTTAGAAAAGAAAATTAAAGAAAAACGTCAACTTACCCTTTCTACATTCATCTAATACATACCATTGTAAAGTTTCACGTCCTCCTCTGAAACGCTGGGATTGGCTCCCCAAACCACCATTTTGTGGATAAGAGTTGGATTCCTTGCAGCAGCAATGAGTGCTGTTATTCCACCGTCACTCCATCCCAGCAAGGAGAACTTCTTAAACTTCAGTGCCTTGTTTAGTACAGGGAAACAGACTGGAAATAACTGGTTTTTACAGCTGAATGGCTTTACCTGAAGACACAAGTCTCTTCAGAAGCAACCCTTCCCCATCGAAATCAAGGGAATTTACAAGTGGTGGGAGTTTGGCTATGTTGCACCTACTAAATTTCATCTATGGTACTGGAGGCTTGCTAGATCAGGGGTTGCTAACTTGTGGCCTTTCAGATGTTGATGGTCTTGAGCACCCACCAGCTCAGCCAGAATGGCCAATGGTCAGGAAAGATGGGAGTTGTAGTCCAGCAATATCTGGAGGGTCACAGATTAGCCACTCCCATATTGTATCCTGACAACCTACAAGAGGGAAGGCAGCTCCCTTCTTCCAGATCATCTAAAGCAGTGTTTCCCAAACTTGAGTCTCCAGATGTTTTCGGGCTACAATGCCTATCATCCCTGACTGCTGGTCCTGCTAGATAAGGATGATGGGAGCTGTAGACGTGTCCTAAGGTGAAAGACTTCTGGGAAAAGATTTATAATGAGTTGAAAAAAATGTTGAAAAATACATTTATTAAGAAACTAGAAGCCTTTCTACTTGGAATAATAGGATTGAAACTGCCCAGAAAAGATGTTAGACTGCTTTTGTATGCCACTACAGCGGCAAGACTTTTATTAGCCAAAAATTGAAAATCACAAGAGATACCAAGAATAGAAGAATGGCAGATGAAGATGTTAGACTTTTTGGAGCTGGCCGACCTGACTGGAAGAATCCGCGAACAGAAGGAGGAGGAGATACATGAGGATTGGAAGAAATTTAAAGAATATTTAGCTAAATATTGTAATATAAGATAAATAGAAAATTCTTGGAAGTAATAAATAGGCTTGGGGTAGAATAAGAATTTGTGGTAGTAAATATTAATGATTAGAATATTAATAAAAGAGAAGAAGATAGTAAATGAAAGTTAATTTTATTAGAAATATGATTTGGGAGAACTGTTACACAGGTGATACAATGAAATTCAGTTAGAGGGGATATGAGGAAGCCAGTTATCAATGTAACAAGAATTAGATTTGAAGAAACAAATTTTCTTTGTGTTTAGTTTATTGTTTAGTTTGTTGTGTTGTGTTAGTTTATGTGTATTTTTGCTTTTTTATTTTTGTCATATATGTGGAAAATCAATTAAAAAATTTGGGGGGCGGGAAGGATGATGGGAGCTGTAGTCCAAAAACAGTTGGAGAGCCAAATTTGGGAAACCGTGATCTAAAGGAATATCCAAACCTTTGTAAAATTAAAATAGAGTAGGGATGACAGCCATTCCCTTGTGCTTTGAGTGAGAGTAGCCCATACATCTTGCCTCATAGGGTGCCAATCCTGCTAGATGCTTCTGCGAAGCACAGAGAGGCCTGCCACTTCAGTCATGATGGTTGGTGCCAAGCCATGATGGTAGGTGTGTATGAAGGCTACTAGAACATCCTCTGAGGGTTCGTTGCCACATGCTAGGGCAAGAACCATGCTCATTCTGGAGGTGGAGGGGAGATTAATTGGGTCACCAGATTGTAGGGCTAACACTGCCTTAACCATTTAGGCCAACCCATTTGGTCCTCATTTTCTCTCTTCTCAATCCTCTTTGTGTTTCTCCAGGTGTTTTTCTCCAGAAGTAAGACTGGCTGTTAAGAGCTATGAGAGAAAAAGATTCGGCACCCTCTACCATGTACCGTATTTTTCACTCTGTAGGATGCACTTTTTCCCCTCCAAAAATTAAGGGGAAATGTGTGTGCGTCCTATGGAGCGAATGCAGGCTCCTTGTCTTCAGTGATAGCAACGCTTTCGCTGAAGCCTGGAGAGCGAGAGGGGTCGGTGCGCACTCTACAGGCTTCAGGGATAGCCGCCTGAAGCCTTTGGAGCACAGCGGGAACTCGCGATGCGCTCCAAAGGCTTTGGGTTCCTTTTGCTGAAGCCGGGAGAGCAAGACTCTCCCAGCTTCAGCAGAAAGGGAGAGCTGTGCAGTGCCCCTTCAGCGAAGCGGGAGGAGAAATGGAAGGGGCTCCGAGCAGAGAGGGGGAGAGGTTTTTTTTCCTGTTCTCCCCCTCCTATGGTCCGGTGCGTCCTATAGAGCAAAAAATATGGTACCGCTTTAAGTTGTTTCCTTCAATTACATGCGAATGAATCGAAAGTTTTAGTGACATGCATTTTGGGTGCTAATACACTTGTTTTTGTGTTTGAATAGGCTATATATAAAGGTGAGTTTTTTAAAAAAGGAATTAAGCTGAATAGTCTTTGAAAGGAATAGGTTGCTAAAGCAAAAAGGAGACAGAGGTGTCCTGCAACAGAGATATCCTGCTACTAAACAGTTAATCATTTTCATAAAGTTTCTGAGCCACAAACTCTGAGTCTCAAGTTTTGCTTGCTGTGTTTACTCCCACAACTAACATTCTAATACCCCAGGGAAGGAACACTTCAGTTCTCCAAAGGGTGTTCCTTAGAAGGACAAATTTACCTGCATCAAGTCCACAGCATCTTTTGCATCTCTTTCAAAAAAATCTTCAGGAAAATCTCGAAGTGGGGGGATTGACTTTCCATACCCGCGAGGATCCCAGGCTACAAGTGTGAATTGCTGCTTGTTCATAGACTTCAGCTGTGGTCCAAAATCGGTCTGGCCACTCCCTACAAAAAATAGGTGAAATAATTGCACCAAAACAGACAATCGTTATGCCCAGGGCTGTTTTCAGCTGGAACTCAGTCCTAGCACCGCTGAAGTGGACGCCATTGCCATTATAAGAGAACAACAGTGAGTTCTGGCACCTCTTTTTCTAAAAAAAAAGGACTGGTATGCACATTTTAAGTTTAAAAGGAAACTCTGCCTTATGGGTACCACCCAATAAACCAACTTTGTGTCTTTATTTCTCTGCTCAAGGAGTTACAGATCTGACATAATATCCTACAGCTACTGACCACAGTCACAGATACTCTCTTACAACGATGAGCAATTGGAAATTAAGCCCCAACAGCTATATTTACAGTGGTACCTCTGGTTACAAACTTAATTCGTTCCGGAGGTCCGTTCTTAATCTGAAACCGTTCTTAACCTGAGGTACCACTTTAGCTGCCGCCGTGCCACCAGAGCGTGATTTCTGTTGACATCCTGGGGCTGTGTTTGTAACCCAAGGTACCACTGTACTTAATATCTATGCCCCATATGCTTACAATCAATGGTATGAGGACACCTTTTGACCAGGGAAATGTCGCCCAATGCACCAGACTTGTTCTAAGAATTGTTCTTGGTTACACTGTAGTGGCTTGGTGCAAGAGAGGTCAGGACTCATTTGACAGTTGCGGAGAAGGGGGAAATTCAACAGGTGTAGCTTGCGTGATAACTCTCATCACCAAGGAAGACCACATGGTGGGATATGTGCATAAGAACATAAGAAGAGCCCAATGGCCCATCACAGCCAACATCTTGTTCTCATATGGGACAATCAGATGCCCATGGGATGCTCACATTGAGGACCCAAGCCCTCTCCCTTCCTGTGGTTCTCAGCAGAGAAGCATTAAGGTCTCTAACTGTGGGAGCAGAGCAATAGATTTCATGACTAACAACCATCAAAAGCCTTCTCTTCTATGCCTTTGTCTAGCCCTCTCTATGTTGAAATAAGAGATGAGGCAATAGCTTTTGCGGAGAATTGAAAGCAGCTTGGAATTAAGGGGTGCTGCTCCTCACCTGCACACCTGTCATCCTCTTTTTACCTTTGGCATCCTTGCAAACACCTGTTTGACCAGAGGCAAGAAAAACGTCTCTACACCCAGGCAAGCAATGCCTCTTTCAAATCCAGTTCTAGTTCTACATTCTTAAAAACTGCATATTTGGCCTAAATAGGTAAACAAACATGTAGAAGTCTGTGAACACTCCTGAATTAAATAAGTGGCACAGAAGGCGCCTTATATCTTAGCTACAAAATGGATTACTTCTGTATGATGGCTATGCTCAGTCTCCACTGTCTGAGGCAGGATGACTGTGAATCAAAAGTGGGGAAAGTTGTACTTGGGTCCAGCTGGTCTGGGTGACCACTGTGAGAAAAAGTTGGTGGACTGAGTTGTTCTTAGCTCCTTACAAGATTTTTAAAAAATCATTGCCACTCTATAAGAGTGTGAATGGTATGAGTAAGCCTGGTTCTTGTGTATATATGTCTTATCGAGGAAAAGAACATCACCGAGAAAGACCACAAACATAAGACAAAGACCAAAGACGTAAGACAAAAAGATCCAAACCTAACATTCCAGGGAGAAGCAGGACAGCATGGCTTCCACTTCCCGTTTGCTGATAATGTAGTCGGACGCCATTCACTTCAACTTTAGCTGAGGTTACTGAAGTGCTAGAGGAAATATCAGCCCCCCCCCAAACAAATAACATTTTAGCTTTATAACACCTTAATTGGAGGATCAGACTGCCCAGTCTTACTGTTAAGACTGATGCTGTTAGTGAAAGAAGGATAAAGTGCGGTTGTTTGCAGTTTAGGTACGGATGGAATTTTTTGTCCTGTGCGATAGGAGTGAAGTTGCCAAAAATTAGAAAAACAGAATTGTGCTCTGAGGCTGTTCTTTTAGCAGACTGTGAAAGATTTACTCAGTGCTTTGCCAGCTTTTGAAGGAGGATGGGCCTTCAGCTGCTGGGGAATAAACAAATGAAGCATCCTCCTGTATGGAAACACAGGGGGCTGCTATCCAGCAAAATGGTTCTGTAAGTGCAAGGATTTTTGTTTATGCAGTGGACCCCTCTCTCCTTTCTTTGTGCAACCCCCCACCCCAAATCTGCTCCAGAGGCAGGTCGGAGGAGAACTCCAGAACAGATTTAACTGCTGGGATTGTTGACTTAAAATCCGGGTACAGTGGACGCTCGGGTTGCAAACGTGATCCGTGTGAGAGGCACATTTGCAACCTGCAGCATTCGCAACCCACAACCCCCGCGTCTGCGCACGCGCGGGTCAGGATTCGGTGCTTCTACACATGCGCAAAGCGCAATTTAGCGCTTCTGCGCATGCGCAAGTGCTGAAACCTGGAAGTAACCCGTTCCGGTACTTCCGATTTCGGCACGGTGTGCAACCCGAAATCGCACAACCCGAGGTATGACTTTACTCTACAAAAGATGAGGAACAGCAGTGCGTTACTGCGACATTTGTAAACCAAATCCTTCAGCCTCATTTGATCTGAGTTTCTTCTCCCACACAGATCTCCAAATTCAGAACTATCAATTACATCCCGTTGTGAAGCGAGTAATGTCACTTACTAATTGCATGCTGGTATTTTAGTTATTAAATAGGCGTATAGGTGCAGAAAAAAAGTAAAACTGAGATTTGATGCTCTTAAAGGAACGGAGCAACCATTTCGAGTTATATTAAAACATCGCTCCCAGGGTTCTGTCAGGCTCCCCTGACAGATAAATGTTGGATTCCAACTCTCCTGTTCTGGAGTTATACTTCTTTAAGGAATGGCACCCAGAATGCATAATATTCTCCTGAGCTTCCAATAAAATGCTCAACATGGCCTTGCTTCCGTTAATTCCCTTGTTTTAGTCAGTATCTGCTGTTTTAGTCAGTATCTGCCAGTCTGTTGAGTTAATGACTAACAAAGGCACTAAAAGATAATGGATCCACTAATCTAGACATTGGACTGGGGAGCGGGGAAGCGTGATACCAGCAACTGAACCAGCTTTATATGTTTATTTGGGAAGGAAAACCGAATCGCAGGGGCAACAACTGCAATACTGCAAGCTCACAGCTCTCGTTCAGCTATTTATAGTGCATATGGTGCTTGCTTATAATCAAATCTTGGAAAGGATTCCTGTTCTTCTGCAACTGTGCTGTTTTCACATGGTACTTTCTGGATGTCCCGTGATCATGTGATAAAAGAGGCCGTGCACTGGGCGCGGCCAGGATTTATGTTAGGGGGTGCAGAACCGAGCTATCTGCAAGTATTTTTTATTTATTTATGGCTAGGAGTTATTTCTCTTTGTTTTCCGATGTATTTCTTATCAAACAAACAAACAAACAAATATTAAATTAATATTAAATTAAATTTAAAAATAATATCGGTGTGGCGCGAGCAAATCTTTATGCAGAAAGTGTGGCCCAGAGAAAAAAAGTTTGGGAACCACCGGGCTGCGCGCTATGCTCTCTAACCTTCCACGTTAGGCACGCACGGGTCTCCTCCCCCGTCCTTCAACGTTCTGCCCACCGCCCCGTGGTCGTCGGAAGCCACCGACTGCGCGCGCGCACAGTCCCTCCCCCGCCTTCCCGTCTCTAAGTCGCTGAGGCTGCAGAGCCTCCCCCGCCTCGTCTGTCCGCCCCGTCTCAACAGGGAATTTACCCGTAGGAAGCAGCCGGCGCCTGGGAGACCCGCAGCGTTGCTCCCCCCTGCGCGGAGCGGGAGAGCTGCGAGAGAAGGCGCCGCAGCAACAGCCCTCCGCTTCTCGGCCGAGCCATGGCGCTTTCTGGTTCTGCCGCGCGGTGGCTCCGCCTTCGCCTTCCCAAGGGAAGGACGGGGGACCGAGCGGCGGATCCTCGAAGGGTTAACAGGCGCCGATTTCACAACCAAGCTGCAGGCCGGGCAGGAGAAGCAGGGCTGGCCCTATCGTTATTAGGCAGGCTGAGGCGACCCATTTGGCGTGCGGAGGGTTTTGGTTTAGTTTTGGCTTTTAATCAGACCTACAAGCTAAACAATTTCCAAAAAAATTAAAGGAAAAAAATGGATTTCTGCAAATGGCTTAGATACCTATTAGGTCCATAAATTACCATATAGCATATATAGCTGTAGCAGGAACCCCCCCACCCCAATCATTCACTTTGTACAAACTTCACACACTCACACTCACACACTACATATGCCACACTTCTGTTATAAATTCATAGAAAAATCAACCATACATCGGATTTGCACTGTTCCATTTTTATTTTACTCCATATGACAAGGACTATCAAAGGGGGGTGGCTTGGTTCTGGTCAGCCATAATCCCTTCACCATCCCAGCACATCCACAGGAGCCCTGCCCAGTTGCTATGCCAACCCTGATGGTCCTAGACAGAAGACCATCAAGATCACAAAGAACTTGCATATGGGAGTGGATTCAGCATGGACTGAAACAAAGGACAATGATCAGATCTTCCCTCTGGGGGCAGGAAACTGCCAACTCCCCTTTGTCTCCTGGAAGTGACTCATGGGGAGGGGGAAAGAAGGAACCAGCCAGGTGACAGGACACTCAGGTTACCACCACAACTCCTCCCTCAACCCCTCCTTTCTGTAATGTATGCATGATGTTTCTGGGGGTGGGCTTGACCTAGAAGATGGGAATTTCAAAAGTTTTTATAAGGTCTTGCACACCATCTTTCTGGGTCTTTTCTCTCTCTTGCAAGTGAGGGGAACACCCTGTTGCAACAGTTCAATAAAGGCCAAGCCTACAGGCTGCTGTTTTGCTCCAAGTTATCCTGGTTGGTGTCTTTATTTTGTCCAAGGGAGCCCTCGGATTTTTCCGGTAACATAGCATATAGGGACACGGGTGGCTCTGTGGGTTAAACCACAGAGCCTAAGACTTGCCGATCACAAGGTCGGCAGTTCGAATCCCTGCGACGGGGTGAGCTCCCGTTGCTCGGTCCCTGCTCCTGCCAGCCTAGCAGTTCGAAAGCATGTCAAAGTGCAAGTAGATAAATAGGTACCGCTCCGGCGGGGGGGGGAGAGAACTCATTGGGGGCTGCGTCAACTAGGACAAGTTGAATGAAGCCTCAATGTTCTGGTGCAGTTTATCACAATACAGTGGTATACGTCAGGTTAAGTACTTAATTCATTCTGGAGGTCCGTTCTTAACCTGAAACTGTTCTTAACCTGAAGCACCACTTTATCTAATGGGGCCTCCCGCTGCTGCCGCCGCCCCACCACCCCACGATTTCTGTTCTCATCCTGAAGCAAAGTTCTTAACCTGAGGTACTATTTCTGGGTTAGCGGAGTCTGTAACCTGAAGCTTCTGTAACCTGAAGCATCTGTAACCCAAGGTACCATTGTATAGTGGTACCTCTGGATGCGAACGGGATCCGTTCCGGAGCCCCATTCGCATCCTGAGTAGAACGTAGCAGGCGTCTGCGCATGCACGGGTCACGTTTTGCCACTTCTGCACATGTGCGTGATGTCATTTTGAGCGCATGCGCGAGCAGCGAAACCTGGAAGTAACGCGTTCCATTACTTCTGGGTCGCCGCGGAGCGTAACCTGAAAACGCTCAACTTGAAGCATATTTAACCCCGGGTATGACTGTACCAGCTACTGGCGCGCAGGTGTGAGAGGCGTGCTAGAGGACTGGTTCCCTGGCTACATGCTCAACTTCCCGCACCTTATCCAGTGGAGCTCTTTATATTTATGTCTTCATTGCATTCCTAGCCCTCCTTTTCTCCAAGGGGCACAAGGCGATCCTTCCCACTTCCTAGCAACCCTGCGAGTAGCCCAGGGTTGGCTGAGTGGAAATTTGAATCTGGGTCTCCACAGCCCTGGTCTGGCACCCTAGGCTGGCCTCAACCAGAGCCAGGGCTTTTTCGGCTGTGGCCCCAATCTGCTGGAATGCTCTGTCACAAGAGACTAGGGCCCTGCGGGACTTGACATCTTTCCACAGGGCCTGTAAGACAGAGCTGTTCCACCAGGCCTTTGGCCAAGGGACAGTCTGACCCCCTCCTTCTGTAATCCTCATAGAACTCTAGCCCAATGGTTGCCATTAATTTGATTCTGAATTGAGAATGTATTTTAATTAATTGATTGTGATTTTACGTAAACTGTGCTGTTTTTATTGTTGTTAGCCACACTGAGCCCAGCATTGGCTGGGGAGGGCAGGATATTAATTATTATTATTATTATTATTATTATTATTATTAACTACCACACTAACTTGTTCTTACAATTTGTTAACTCTGCTAATGATGATAATAACATTTTTATACCCTGTTTTCTACAGAAATACACAGGGCAGCTTTCACAAAGTCTACACAACACAAAATAAGTCATGCAGATACATTTTAAGAGGCAAAATGAAACCTAAAAATGAAACAAACTAGCACATGAAATCAACAGCAGCTAAAAACAAGGAGCAGTTCTAAAAAAAACAGTTTAAATAATAATTCTCCCCAAGTCCCAGGATGGTAACAATGTAGATAAAACAGCTTAAAACAAATGGCAGTCACTACCAGAGTGGGTCCCAAAGTATGTATATCTTACACAATAAAAGATTAGGAGGCATGGGATTATGCGCTAGTTCCCTCGGCTCCAGTTTCTCCTGTCACTGAGGTTCTTTCTTAACCACAATGCGAAATCAGGATTTTAGGCTGCTTCCACAGCTACCAGGGAACTTCATGGGAGTTAACTGTGGTTGCTGTTCATAAAAGCTGCAGCTGAGATTACACATGCGGATTCCAGGGAAAAGGGAAGAGGAAGTCCTATGGTCCCTTTGCAGCCTCATAGCCATGGTTAAGATATTGGGTATGCTACATCTGGAATGTTTTCACACGCCTGGTCCTTTTAACTACATATAATTCACCTGACGTGTGACCAAAAACACTACCAATACAAATCATTCTACTGTTCTGTAATCCTTCCCTTCTGAGGCCACGCCAAGCTAGATCTGAACTGGAAGGCTTTGCCATGATTTTGACAAAATATGAATTTGTTATTCAAGTATTGCACATATCTAGGTAAAGGTAAAGGACCCCGGGACAGAAAAGTCCAGTTAAAAGTGACTATCTCGCTTTCAGGCAGAGGGAGCTGGTGTTTGTCCACAGACAGCTTTCCGGGTCATGTGGCCAACAGGACTAAATCGCTTCTGGTGCAACAGAACACTGTGATGGAAACCAGAGCACACGAAAATGCCATTTACCTTCCCACCACAGTGATACCTATTTATCTACTCTCACTGGTGTGCTTTCAAACTGCTAGGTTGGCATGAGCTGGGACAGAGCAACGGGACCTCACCCCATTGTGGGGATTCGAACTGCCAACCTTCTAATTGACAAGCCCAAGAGGCTCAGTGATTTAGACCACAGCACCACCCACGTCCCTGGTACATATGTATGGTGTGGTGAGTCTGACATCCATAAAACTGGGCTGTTCATAGTGTGCTGACTAATCTCCATGCTGTTAGTATCAAAGACAGAATGGGACTAGCCCAATCCAAAACAACACAGTCCCAAACAGTAGCCATAACATTGAGCTACAATGATTAGCCAGACCTAGTCTGAAATCCTGTGCACAGTTCCTTAGGATCAAATCCCATGTACAGGATTGAGTGGCAGATCAGTGGCTGAAGGAGCATCTCAACCCCTATTTTTCAGGTCCAGCTCTGAGGTCCTTCTGGTGGTTCCCTCACTGCGAGAAGTGAGGCTACAGAGAACCAGGCAGAGGGCCTTCTTGGCAGTGGCACCCGCCCTGTGGTACACCCTCCTATCAGATGTCAAGGAGATTATCTGTTTTGTAACAAACAAACAAAACTTAAATAAAAACTAATTTAAAAAAGAAGAGCAACGGCAGTGGCATTGCTAGAAAGTGCAGTTTTCTCCAGTCTTTCCTTGCATGGTTCTTACTGAGAGCCAGTGTGGTGTAGTGGTTAAGAGTGGTAGACTCGTAATCTGGGGAACCGGGTTCGCTTCCCCGCTCCTCCACATGCAGCTGCTGGGTGACCTTGGGCCAGTCACACTTCTCTGAAGTCTCTCAGCCCCACTCACCTCACAGAGTGTTTGTTGTGGGGGAGGAAGGGAAAGGAGAATGTTAGCCGCTTTGAGACTCCTTCGGGTAGTGATAAAGCGGGATATCAAATCCAAACTCTTCTTCTATATGCTAATAGTGAGTGACTCAAGATTGATATATGCTTTCAGTTTTTGTATCTGATAATATTTTATTATTTACATTAAAGCTAGAGCAGTCTTGCGTCCATTTATATTGGGTTTTTTTAATTAAAATTATACAAATACATTCATTTGACGGCAAATTCTATACAGGCAGCACCAGAGCATTCATAATAGCAAAATGTAAAGCAAAATGTCCATACTTTCCCCTGCAAAGTAGTTTATGCTGGTTTATGACTCTCATTTGTTACTCATTTCTGACTCCTGCTTTATTTTGGCAAGGAGATCTATCCTCTGGCTAGCAAAGAGAGCTCTGGCCAGCTTTCCCACCGTTGCTCCTTTGCTCCCTTCCTTCATCAGCCACCTCTGAAACATTTGATAAACTTTTTCCTTTAAGCCATCGCGCTCGTAGTCATGGTCAATTTCCTCCAGGTCAGGGTCGCTGAAGCCCAGCTGCCGCGCCGTGGGTTTCCACTTCTTCCCCATATTTTCTCTCACGAGGTTCAGTTGAACTTCCGAAACGATAGCAGTGTTCTCTGGTGGTGACAAAAGGAAAATGTTTCTTTAGTGCTTTGGCGATGGAACACCGTTGCTTTTGTTCTCAGAGGCAATAGGAAGATCCTGACAAACTCCATCTTGCGTGAGAAACATGGGTGTGAGGGGGCAGGCAGGCCAACCCTGCTGCTAACAGTGAATGCAGGGCTCTGAGTGCATGTCAATCTCCCTCTCTCTCTCTCTCTCTCACAACAGAACACCGTGACGGAAACCAGAGTGCATGGAAACGCCGTTTACCTTCCCGCCGCAGTGGTACCTATTTATCTACTTGTGGTGGTATGCTTTCGGACTGCTAGGTTGGCAGGAGCAGGGACAGAGCAAGGTAGTTGTGGGGATTCGAACTGCCAACCTTCGGATCAGAAAGCCCAAGAGGCTCAGTGGTTCAGACCACAGCGCCACCCGCGTCCCTATGTCAATATATTCACCATGGAACCTCCATTTGAGTGTGAATTCTGAGCCAGTCAGAATTGTTTGAAAATGCCACATGACTGCATTGCAAGGCCACAAAGCATGTGCAGAGTTACTTTTCTGCACTTTTTTTTTTTAGCAGCCCACCTGTGTAGACTTCCATGGGATTATAAACCACAGTGGTACAGAATTCCTGATCCCATGGAAGCCTTACAGTCTTTTGTGCAGAAGACTTTCCACTTGCAGATGTCCGTACTTTATGTATTGACATCAAAGGGGGTTGCAGGGAATTCATGCCATGTTGTGGGGGAAGCCACCAGGTATTCTCCTGCTCCCTCCTTTACTCATGGCACCCCTTCTTGTGTAATGAATTCATAAAGGGGCCTAAATACTTTACCGAGGTAAAGTTCGCAAACCGGAACACTACTTCCAGTTTTGCGGAGTTCGTAAACTGAATCGTTTGTAAACAGGACTGTTCTTAAACCGAGGTACCACTGTACTACTACTAAGGGATACAAGCTAGAAGACCAGAATCTTCAGGGTCAGAATCCCAAAATCTGACTGCAAAGTCTGTGTTTTGTGGAGATCACTAACACCTATGTTTCTACAGATTAATATTTTTGTTACTATTAATACTACTAATTTATTTCTTATACCCCAGCCACTCTGGGTATCTTCCAACAAAATACAGAGGAAAGAATGGGAGGGGGGGAAACATCAAACATTAAAAACTTCCCAAAACAGGGCTCCCTTTAGATTTCTATGAAAAGTCATATATTTGTTTAACTGTTTGAGATCGGAAAGGAGAGTGTTCCACAGGACAGGTGCCACTACAGAGAAGGCCCTCTGCTTGGTTCCCTGTAAGCTCACTTCTCGCAGGGAGGGAACTGCCAGAAGGCCCTCAGAGCTGGACCTCAGTCTAAGCATGTCGTATCTTTCCTTGGTAGATGTTTTCAGTTCTATTCAGTCCTAACTTACATATCCTGAACAGAGTTTCAAAGGAAAATGTATGACTTTGAAAGCAAGAACTATTTCATGAAGGAAGAAAAAAGTTTTAACTTCAGTACTTACCAAAGAGTTTCTGGTAATCTGCAGGATTATAATGAGTATTTTCCGGCATAGTACATATTTGTTGAGGTTTTTGTTTAATGGTTAAGATGTTGTGAGAGCCTATCTGAATTGCACTACTATTATATATATTGTAGCTTGCAGGTTCTCCTGTATGTAAGACAATTTTTTTAAAAAACACCCGTTTAATAAAGCAAGTATAAAACTACACACAAGCAAAATGAGCACAGGGACAGTGCAGGGGGATAAATTACTGACCAGTGTGTTGACACATGTTAATTTTATGATGGAAATAGTAAAATGGCAAAAATGCATTATTTGAACGCTGCACTTATATGTTGGGTAGTTTCACATCAAGGAAAGAACGGTTCCTGCTCTTAGAATTTATGTTACAAGGGCATATTTACACAACCAGGTTTATTTCTCAGGTTGGTGTCTGGTATAGTTAATCATGGAAGGATAGAATTGTAGAGTTGGAAGGGACCCTGAGGATCATATAGTCCAACCCCCTGCAATGCAGGAATATACAGCTGTCCCATACGGAAATTGAATCTGTGACCTTGCCATTATTAGCACCGTGCTCTAACCAACTCAGCAAGCCAGGCTGCTCCAATAGTTCTTTGATAAGAGTTAAAAGTCATAGCAAACCTGTGTCAGTCAGATCAGTAGGATGAGACAACAAACTCCCCAAAGAGAAAACATGTTGGCTCTTCTATATCAGGCATGTCCAACTCCCAAGAGACTGCAATCTACTCCCAGTTTAAACAACCTGGCAGTGATCTACCCAGAGTTGTTGGGATTTTTTTTAGGAGGAGAGGCCAGAGTTGTTCAGCTTTTTGGGGGTGAATGCCATAAATCGCTTGCAGTAAATGCCAACACAAGCAAACGTACACAGCGGGGGCCCGAGACATTCATTCAACTGTTTTTTTATTCGCAAGGACTAAAAGGTTCCTGTGATCTCCGGGGAATCTACCCTGTCTATCGTGGTTGACCAGTTGGACATCGCTGTTCTATAGCAACAGCGTTTCAAAACCGTTGCGAGAATTAAGTCTTTTGAGTCAAATAGATAATGCATTTTGAGACTTCAGCAAATGTGACTGTATCTTGTTGAGATCAAGCAAGCAGCTGTTTCTGGAGCTCCAAAATTCTGTTGGTTTTTTTCATTTTGAAAGGGAACAGCACCACAAAAGGGAATCTCAAACTCTCTCCTTGTGGAAAGAGCAGATTGCAGGGGCCAGTTCTGCAACCTAACACTAGTCTATCCTGTTTGCACCTTAGGCCCCTCCAAAAATCTAACTAGTGTGCCAAATAAACCCTGGGAAAGCGGGGTTAAATCCTACAAAATTGGCTGCTGGGAATAGGCATACTCAGCCAAGGCAGAATTGGATCCCACCCACCCTGGTCGATCAGTTCATTTCACGTGTGACATCAGCTGATGGACAGGTGGATATGATTGGAGGGAAATAGCCGTGTAGGCCAAGACTGGCCCATGGATTGGAGCTTCCCTACTTCTGCTTTAGAGCTACCAAATGGTATTATAGCCTTAAAGAGTCCGGACTGCTCATGCCGCTCATGTTGAGATCATACTGCTCATATCAAGAAATAACTAGAGTTTTTTACCTGAATTCTGTTTGTGTATAGGTGTATGGGCGAAGTTCGTCTTCATAAAAGAGGTTGATTCCTCTGGATCTAAAGAGGTATGCAAATTGTGTCAAAACTGTACCACTGCTCTTGAAACATTAAACAACAACAACAACAATAATTTATTATTTATACCCCGCCCATCTGGCTGGGTTTCCCCAGCCACTCTGGGCGGCTTCCAACAAGATCTTAAAATACAATAGTCTATTAAACATTAAAAGCTTCCCTAAACAGGGCTGCCTTCAGATGTCTTCTAAAAGTATGGTAGTTGTTTTTCTCTTTGACATCTGGTAGGAGGGCGTTCCACAGAGCGGGTGCCACTACCGAGAAGGCCCTCTGCCTGTTTTCCTGTAACTTGGCTTCTTGCAGCGAGGGAACTGCCAGAAGGCCTTCGCACTGGACCTCAGTGTCCTAGCAGAACGATGGGGGTAGAGACGCTCCTTCAGGTATACTGGACTCTTGACAGTGCAAAAACCTACTCAGACAAAAACCTACCCAAGTGCAAAAGAGCTCTTGCATCATTAATGTAGATGAGGGAATTTCAACAGGTGGATATTTCACGATACAAAGTGGTGGTCTCGGGAGAGCAGCAGCTGCCAGAAGGGAGAGCTGAGGACATCAAGCCCCAGTACAGTGGTGCCTCGTAAGACGAAATTAATCCGTTCCGCGAGAGTCTTCGTCTAGCGGTTTTTTCGTCTTGCGAAGCAATCCTATTAGCGGCTTAACGGATTAGCGCTATTAGCGGTTTAGCGGCTATTAAAGGCTTAAAGGCTTAGCGGATTAGCTGCTAAAAGGCTATTAAAGGCTATTAAAGGCTTAGCGGATTAGATAAAGGGGGGGGAAAGCGGAAAAAAAATCTCAAGACTCGCAAGACATTTTCGTCTTGCGAAGCAAGCCCATAGGGAAATGCGTCCTGCGAAGCAACTCAAAAACGGAAAACCCTTTCGTCTAGCGGGTTTTCCGTCTTGCGAGGCATTCGTCTTGCGGGGCACCACTGTACTTTTCAGAAGACCACAGTGACTTCCGACAGAATGAAGTCCTCCCAGATAGACAGTCTAAGCTTCCAGTGCTGTACAGTGGTACCTTGGGTTAAGTACTTAATTCGTTCTGGAGGTCCATTCTTAACCTGAAACTGTTCTTAACCTGAAGCACCACTTTAGCTAATGGGGCCTCCTGCTGTTGCCGCGCCGCCGGAGCACGATTTCTGTTCTCATCCTGAAGCAAAGTTCTTAACCTGAAGCACTATTTCTGGGTTAGAGGAGTCTGTAACCTGAAGCGTGTGTAACCTGAGGTACCACTGTACTTGCTGATTGTCACGGAGCCACATTTGCAGCCCACAGTGCTGATGAACCAGAGAGTTCTTTCATAGTTGGGACCACCCAAGACCCACCTTCCCTGGAGCTCCCTGGGATGTGTGTACCAGGCAAGGGAGCTAGCACCATCAGCTCCTGAAATAGGCCTGAGGATGTTTGGCACCACTTGTTAATATCCCGCCTGAGGCACCTTGTCCAAAAGGTAGCATATAGATGCAATTGATCAATATAATTAAGTTACCAATTTCTATTCAGCCCACAGCCAGTGCAGTACAGAATGATATTACAACTAGCACTCCTAGCACTCTTACACCAGAGGAGGCATATGCCGACAAAGAGAGAAATCAAGGGAGTTTTTGCTGATTCTCCCTCAAAACGCTTGTTTGTGTTTGTTTTAGGGTTGTAATGCTTTTATTTGTTTTTTAATTGCATATTTTATTGTTGTAACCCACAGGATTATTGTTGAAGGGCAGGTTAAGAGATCTAATTACAAACAAACAAATAAAACTGCTCCAGAACAGGTTTCCAAAGCACACTGGGGATTGCTGGGCAAAGGGGATTGGCAAAAAACCTTCTCTCGTCTTCTGAGGTGATTCCACCGGATCAAAAGCCCTTTTAGTACAATGGCATGAAAGGGCCACCACCCAGTTTTTAGGGTGCTGGAGTATCCCTTATGTACAGATGGATATCCCAGAATGGAGCACAGCTTACAACATTGATAATGAAACATGACAGTCCTAAGAAAACAATACAAATAAAATACAGCACAACGAATAGCAGCGCTAATGCTCTCTGTAGAAACTTCACCACAAACAGTATTTCGTGATTCAAATGCTTGGACAAAAGCGATTCCATTCCACAAAGCTTCCCAGTCAGTGCTGCTCATTGGGTGACCTCAGACAAATATTCATTTCAGTCAACCTCAGAAGGTTGTGAAGTGAAATGGTATGAGAGTGGGGAGAACTGTTTGCCGCAAGCTCCTTGAAGGGAGGGCAGGATGAAAATTTAATAAAAGGCATAAATATAAATATGCATAGTAACCTTAAAGCTCAGCAGATTTTGAATTGCTATTACATTTTAGCTGCCCAGGGTTAGTAGGATGGGACGAAAGACTGGCTCATAAAAAATGGGACAGCTTTTATTTTCTTCATAGAAGGTAGTGAAGAAGAGCCATTTTACTGCATGTGTGCTCTTTCTCCCTGAAGGAACAAGAAGACCCTCAATCAGTTCACTTACCAGTTTCTGTACTGAAGCTTCTGCCAAAATAGTAAGGTCTGAATGGGTTAGATTGACGATCCACACCAGATTCAGGTACGGGTGGTTTATTGAAGCTAAAGGGATTGGCTGATCCGTAGAGATCTTCTGGGCTTAGAGATGCTCTGAGATTTGCAGGTCCAGGCCCATAGTGCCTAACTGGATTCAGCCGGCTATTATTTTCCCTTTCCAGAGTAGCTCTGAGCGGCGGTGGTTTCCACTGACGACTGTATGGGTCCACAGTGGTGTTGCTATGACGGGCACCAGGCTCGACCTTTTCAGGCCTCAGGTGTGACTCCTGCATCGGGCGGGCAGCAGTCGCCTTTGCATACGGGTCGTGAGACACCTTCCTCCTCCTCTCCTGCTCCAGCATTTCGGCGCTGTACGACACGGAACGGCCATCCCCCTTGTCCATCCTGCTGCCGTGCACGTGATAGTTTAGCTCGTCCTCCAGTTTCCGCTCCAAGGTCACCGGAGGATCCAAGGACGTTTCGCAGCTCTCCACAGGTTCATTCACTGGGCAAGCCGCAAACATGGCTTCGTCTACGGTGTTGCTGGGCGCAGGAGACGGAGAGCTGTGCAGGAAGCCAGGCTGATCTACAGGGCAGAAAGGGAGAGGCCTAAGAGGATTGATCGTTTTGCAGAGATTTCATTGCAATGTTCTAGCACAGGGGACAGCAAACTTTTTCAGCAGGGGGCTGGTCCACTGTCCCTCAGACCTTGTGGGGGGCCGGACTAAATTTTGAAGGGGGGGAAAATGAACAAATTCCTATGCCCCACAAATAAAATTAATACAGCTAGTAGTGACTCTGAATGCTCCTGCAGTGACACACACACAAACACACACACACACACACACACACACACACACACACACACAGAGAGACCCATGGATGCTAAGCATCAAAAGTATGGTATTGTAAAGGTTTTTCCCACCCACTTTCTGAACAAAGAGCTGGCCTTCCAGAGAGATGTGCCATAACTGTATAGGTGTTGTTCTACAGGGATGCTGACAGTGCAATCCTAAAACTTGTCTACTCAGAGTAAGTCCCATTGGGTTCAAAGGGACTTACTCCCAGGTAAGTGGGGCTAGAATTGCAGTCCTAATCTCTAAGACAGGGAACAGCAAACTTTTTCAGCAGGAGGCCGGTCCACTGTCCCTCAGACCTTTGGGGCTGGACTAGATTTTTTTAGGGGGGGGGAATGAACGAATTCCTGTGCCCCACCGATAACCCAGAGATGCATTTTAATAATAATAATAATAATAATAATAATAATAATAAATTTTATTTATATCCCGCCCTCCCCAGCCAAAGCCAGGCTCAGGGCGGCTAACAACAATAAAATAATACAACATTCTAAAAACATTTCATTATAAAAATTAATTAAAATCAAATTAATGGCAACCATTAAGCAAAAATTCTGTGCAGATTGCCAAAGGAGGGAGTCAGGCTGCGCCCTGACCAAAGGCCTGGTGGAACAGCTCTGTCTTGCAGGCCCTGCGGAAAGATGTCAAGTCCCATAGGGCCCTAGTCTCTTGTGTCAGAGCGTTCCACCAGATTGGAGCCACAGCCGAGAAAGCCCTGGCTCTAGTTGAGGCCAGCCTAACCTCTCTGTGGCCTGGGACCTTCAGGATGTTTTTATTTGAAGACCGCAGGTTCCTCTGTGGGACATACCAGGAGAGGCAGTCCCGTAGGTACGAGGGTCCTAAGCCGTATAGGGCTTTAAAGGTTAAAACCAGCACCTTAAACCTGATCCTATATTCCACCGGGAGCCAGTGCAGCTGGTATAGTACCGGGTGAATGTGATCTCACAGCGAAGACCCTGTAAGGAGTCTCGCCCCGGCATTCTGCACCCGCTGGAATTTCTGGGTCAGTCTCAAGGGCAGCCCCACGTAGAGTGAGTTACAATAATCCAGTCTGGAGGTGACCGTCGCATGGATCACAGTGGCTAGGTCAGGGCGAGAGAGGTAAGGCGCCAACTGCTTAGCTTTAAATAAAAGGACACATTCTACTCGTGTAAAAACACACTGATTCCCAGACTGCCTGCGGGCCAGATTTAGAAGGCGATTGGGCCAGATTCAGCCCCTGGGCCTTAGTTTGCCTACCCATGTTTTAGCAGCTTGGTGAGACTCTACTGCTGTGAGATCAAGGCTGCATCCAGGGCCAGGGAGCCTATGGGCCTCCAAAAACCTTTGGACTACAATTCCCATCAGTCCAGTAGCATAGGGAAGGTCACAGCTTTCCCTGACCTATCCTACACTCTCACCTTGGATCCCAATGAACTCAATGGGACTTACTTCTCAGTATATTTGCACTGAATTGTGCTGTAAGCATGAATAGCTTGTTGGGTTGCCATTGGTCCTCTTCCACAAGAATTTGTCTTATACAGTCAGCCTAACGCTATCATCTGGGAAATGCCATAAACTGCTGTATTGCTGTACCACTGTACTCTGGCACGAAGTTCTAGCATCGCCTGCCATTTCCCATAGCCCAGCAAATGATAAGTGAAGGTATCATACTTCAAAATCACAACCAGAGAGAACTAGAAGGAAGCCTTCCAAAACCAGAAGATTATAGAAAGTGCTCTCACAAAACTTCCACTCAACACACTTGGGGGTGGGGGGGTAGAAGCCTAGAAAAACAAAGGAATACTAAATGCTCTCTCCAGTTGGAAGAATTAAGTGTGTTCACACCACCACCCTATTCTAGGCTGAGTAGTGTATCGATATATTGTCCCAAACTGGTTTGAAGTCCATATCATGATGTTGGTTTCATAGTTTTAGACCTGGCAATATATCACAATCAGGATGTGTGTGTGCTTGCGCGCTATGCAGAAATCATGATGCAGGAAAAACCGTGAAGGCAGTTAATGCCTGTACATAGCTCCATCCTTACTTCAGACAACAACAACAACAACAACTTATTTGTACCCCGCCCATCTGGCTGGGTTTCCCCAGCCACTCTGGGGGGCTTCCAACAAAGACCAAAAATACACTAAAATGTCAATGTGATATATCAGTGTATTGCGATGTTGGAAAACCAGGTACCACCCAGCCCTGCTCTATTCTGACTATTCAGAAGCTCAGGTTGAACAAGTAATCAGCATAAATAACTGCCAGCAAACATTTTTTTAAAACCACTTCCAATATTAACAGGTGCTACAAAAAGGAAGCAGAAATCCCCCAAAGTAAAAAGTAGGTGTGGTCTTTGTTCTTATGCCAACCCAACAGGATGACCCAAAAGGGCCTTTGGTATCGATCCACCCTGAGGCCTGCTGGCAGGTTTCCTTTGGCAGCTGCTACACCTCAGGCTGTGGGTTTCAGCCTAATACCCAAAGGTCAAGAGCCTTTTGGTAGCTATAGACTCTGAATATAGACGGCAAGAATAATGACTTTTGGAAGTGTGAATGGTTCTTGGCTTCTTGTTGTTGTGGAAATCCTGCTCAGCCCCTGCTGCTTCCACGCTATGGGATTTCACCAGGCACTGTCTGTTTGTCTGTGTGGGCTTCCCTTGCCCCCCAAAAAAGAGAAACAGAGAGGATGATGAATTCTCCACCCCAAACTGACTTCATCACTTCTGTGACGCTATCATAAAATATACACATACTCTAATTTGAGTCATAAACCAGAGTCCAGACAAAATCTCCAGCTCTGATATGATTTATTTACAATGTAGAGACTGAAACTGTAATCTGCACTAGCCCTAATCAGCACTGAAACAGTGATCTGCGCTGTACTTTGGCTTTGATTGTGTGTTTTTTAAAATGGGTGTCCTTGTTATTGTAAAGAAATGTGCAGCAGTTGCATCCCAAATGTGGGATGCAAAAGAACAAACTCTTAAGCAACTGAAATGAATTACCCGTCCGACCATTGCTTGGTGGTTCTGCCACAGCATCCACTTGGAGAGACTGCATCCTTTTTACAAGTTCCGTTGGCTCAGGGTACTTTTCCTGTCGCAGAGAACAAGAGCAACTAAATACCTGATTGAATCACTGGAAGAACCTAGAACCTCTAGGGGAATGTTGCTTAGGGTGCCCATCAAGCAAAATCCCGCTGGACTGTATGACTAAGGATGTCAGGAACCCTGTTGCACAGGGAAACCTACATGTCTAGAGGTTTACACATGTAGGCTTTCCCATTTCAGACACTCCGGTTAATGTGAGAATGTCGGAGAGAGACTGAGGGAGCAGCCCCACTACTGCTTCTCTCCTAACACTAGAATTTGTGGACACCCAATGAAGCTGAGTGTTGAAATAGCCATGGCAGATAAAAGTAATTCTTCATGCAATGTATAGTTCAAGCATGGAACCCACTTCCACAGGAGGCAACAATGGCCACCAGTTTGGATGACTTTAAAAGAGGAGTGGACAAAGTCATGGAGGGCAAGGCTATAGCCATGATGACTATGCTGTGTCTCCACATCCGGAGACAGTAATGTTTCTCACAGGCTGTCAGGGATTGGACTGAAGAGGAATGGTGGAGGCCACCCCCCCATTCTCCTGAACCTTCCCAAGAAGAGGAGGACAGTATAGACTTACAACGGTGGTTTGCAGAAGGTCATGACTCTGAGACAGAAGAAGGACAAAGCTGGGAGATAATGGAAGGAGACGAAGGAGGAGCAGAAGAGTTAGGACAGCTGGTTGACACATTATCATTAGAAAGCATTCCCAACCCAATCCCCTTCTCCTAGAACGAGGAGGGCTGTTAAAGTGGGAGAACAGAAAGCGAATAGACAAAGGTCCTCACGCAGCCACTGTATAAAGGGGTGGAGCTGCTGACGACTGAGAGTAAAAGGGGGGAGGAGATTACTGAGAGCAACGCCATTATCCTAGAGACAGCATCCTGCATCTCTCTCTGTGACTATTGAATAAAATACCTTGGTAAGAGCTTCTTGTATTTTCATTACTGGCAGCCTGCCGTGAGGGAGGGGGATCAGATTCCCTGAAGCCTGACACAGGCATTAGGGCAACATTATTATTATTACAGGTTCGCGGGTGGTGCTGTGGTCTAAACCACTGAGCCTAGGGCTTGCCGATCGGAAGGTCGGCGGTTCGGATCCCCGCGACGGGGTGAACTCCCGTTGTTCGGTCCCAGCTCCTGCCAACCTAGCAGTTCGAAAGCACGGCAAAGTGCAAGTAGATAAATAGGTACCGCTCTGGCGGGAAGGTAAACGGCGTTTCCGTGCGCTGCTCTGGTTTCGCCAGAAGCGGCTTAGTCATGCTGGCCACATGATCTGGAAAAACTGTCTGCGGACAAATGCCGGCTCCCTCGGCCAGTAAAGCGAGATAAGCGCTGCAACCCCAGAGTCGTTCGTGACTAGACTTAACAGTCAGGGGTCCATTATTATTATTATTATTATTATTATTATTATTATTATAGCCTGCCCTTCTGACTGGGTTGCCACAGGCACTCTGGATGGCTTCCAACAGATATAAAGAGATAATAAAACATCAAACCTTAAAAATATTCCCTCTACAGGACTGCCTTCATATGTCTTCTAAAAGTTGTATGGCTATTTATCTCCTTGACATTTGGTGGGAGGGTGTTCCACTGCTGAGAACAGGATTCTGGACCACTGGGTTGATCCAGCAGCTCTTCTTATGATTTTGTATGCTTTTAGGGATAGAATTGGAAGGGACTGAGGAAGTCATTTAGTACACCCCTCTGATTATTGCAGGATCTACAATGCAGATGCAGCGACAGTGTCCCTGACAATCTCTGCTTCAATGATTCCAGTGAAGGAGATTGCTCGGCTGTGTGACAGCTCTTACTTTCAGGAAATTTCTTCTACCTAATAGCTGGACTCTGTTTCTCTACAATTTCCACCAGTGATTCTCGCCCCTTTTGCTTTTTTCAGCCATAAATGTTTGAAAAACTTACTTTTAACTTTCTCAAGTCATCTTCAACATCCTTTTCAAAGTTCTGCTGATAAAATGGCTTGTACGTCAAATTGATTTCTGTAGTAAAGGATTAGTCAATTAGTAAAAGAAAAACCCCAAAGCGGTCTCAGTGAAAAACAGAGGAGACTCTTCTTATGCTGTCTTTTATAAAGGCAAGTAAGAAGTGACACGGCAGTGGCGTAGCATGGCAGGAGGGCACAGCGGCAGTTGCCCTGGGCGCAAAATTGTTAGGGGGTACAAAATTTCAACGTACAGATTGGGTGGGGCTCAGTCCCGTCCTCACGTACTTCCCCATGGATTTGGCACCTATAAGGAGTGCAGTGTTACCTCTCTGCTGTTCCTCATCCCACTGCACCTGTAGACCCAGCCAAAAACTAAACATCTGGAATATTCCGCATGACCTTAAGGCTACCTTCCTCTTGCACTCAGATAATGCCAGACCCACTTCAGCAAAAATGCCCTCTCACTACCTGCAAAAGTTGGCCGTTCCTCCGGCTTTTGACTCCAAGATTGTTTCATTAGTGTAATGATCTCTCCTGGGCAACTTTCTTCAATCTCCTCTATGAGAGGCCTGTCCCCATTCATGATGCAGAAGTATATTTGCGCGTCAGTCATAGCATCTGGTGCGGGAGAGAGGAATTGAATAGGTTTTTTTAAATAAAAAAAATATACAGTGGTACCTCGGGTTACATACGCTTCAGGTTGCATACGCTTCAGGTTACAGACTCTGCTAACCCAGAAATATCACCTCAGGTTAAGAACTTTGCTTCAGGATAAGAACAGAAATGGCGCGGCGGCAGCAGGAGGCCCCATTAGCTAAAGTGGTGCTTCAGGTTAAGAACAGTTTCAGGTTAAGAACAGACCTCCAGAACGAATTAAGTACTTAACCCAAGGTACCACTGTAACCGTATGCAGCTAAAAACACTTCAGCAAGCAGAGTTATTTGATCACAAACACTCACTCTCATAGGGTTCTTTGTTGGCAAAGATGGCCCATAATACTATGCCAAAGCTGTACACGTCTGATTTTTCCACAGGCGTGGTGTTAACTGATGCCAAGTGTTCTGGGGCCATGTAAAAAAGGGTGCCGGCGTTGCTCTTTGAGCTGCAGTTGATTTTCATTTTCCGGATGCTCTCCTCTTTGGTCAGCCTGCTCCAACTTTTGAAGCGGGCCACACCAAGGTCTGCTATCTGCAGGAAAGGGTAGAGAACCGTTAGGAGCAAGGTCCAACTGAGATCACACAAGCACACAGCTGATGAGACCCTCGCAGGCCGTCTTCTCCAACTTCCTGCTTGGCACAGGAAATCCAGAGCTAGAGCATTCACTATAGATGGACTATCCACCCTCTACTTAAAGGGAGAGCCCACCACCCCTCTAGGTCATTGGTTCCATTGTCACAGCTGTTCAAGAAGTTTGACTTAACGCTCAACCAAAATTTACCTGCCTGTATCTTAAGCCCACTAAATCAACCTCAGTCTGCAGCAGAGAACACACATTTGCCTGTGATGTCCCGACACTCTCAGTCTTCTCTTTTCCAGGCTAAACATGCCCAGTTCTTTCAAACAATTCCACATAGGACTTGTTTTACTTAATGCTGACAGTCTTTTGTTGCCTTTCTCTATCCCCATTTCAGTTTGTCTAAATAAATAAATAAATAAATAAATAAATAAATAAATAATAAAAAAATTATTTATACCCCGCCCATCTGCCTGGGTCTCTCCAGCCACTCTGGGCAGCTTCCAACAAAATATTAAAATACAGTGGTCTGTTAAACATTAAAAGCTTCCCTTCAGATGTCTTCTAAAAGTTTGGTAGTTATTTTTCTCTTTGACATCTGGTGGGAGGGCGTTCCAAAGGCGGAACTACTGAGAAGGCCCTCTGCCTGGTTCCCTGTAACTTGGCTTCTTGTAGTGAGGGAACCGCCAGAAGGCCCTCGGCGCTGGACCTCAGTATCCGGGCAGAATGATGGAGGTGGAGACCCTCCTTCAGGTATACTGGACCGAGGCTGTTTAGGGCTTTAAAGGCCAGCACCAACACTTTGAATTGTGCTCGGAAACGTACTGGGAGCCAGTGTAGGTCTTTCAAGACCAGTGTTATATGGTCTCGGCGGCCGCTCCCAGTCACCTTCTTATAAAGTTCAGTGCCCATTAGGGGATATTCCAGTCGAGGACAATTTGCAGTCGACATGCTTGGTGCGACATCAAATGTTTCCCAAAGAAATTTGTTATTTAATTAAATATAGTGTTTTTAAGTTACCCAGGTCAAATGGAGTGCACCGATCTGAACATTCAGAAAAGCATGTCGTATAGCCTTTCCTGGCCTGCTATACCAGGAAGGGAATGCAAAACACTGGGAAACTGTGTGTTTACCTTCTCATCCACATGTGCATAGTGGGCAAAAGCCTGGTTAGCTTACTGCAACCGTGTAAACCTACTGGCTTCTGGAGCAGATTGCGCCCACTTTACAAACCTTGGCTGCAGATCTTGGTTAAGGAGGAGAGAGCAGAACAACAATCCTGGGTTCAGACAACATGCAAAGCCATACCTTGTCTTAGTTGCTACATTACACTGAACGACAAGGACCAGGAGAGAAGCAAAGTGGCTGCGATCTCCCTGGGAGCCAGCACATTTGCAGTCACACAAAACCATGGTTTGCCAAACAGGCAGGTTCTGCTATAAATCATGCCCACATCTGGTTTAGCCCTAAGACTGACATGTCACCCATCCAGAAATTATGTGCTAATGGTACCTTAATATGAAAGTCCTCGTCTACAAGGATATTTTCTGGTTTTAGGTCTTTGTGAACTAAGCCCTGTTCAGTTAAGTAAAGCATTCCTTCAATGATCTCTAGGATGAAGCACCCTTTCACAGACAAAGGAATAGAGGTCTGCAATAAAGCAAAAACAGCAGAATATTAGTATATATACTGAATTATACCTGCCATGATCAAGAAGCTGCCTTTTTTAAAAATGAAATGCAGTGGTATTCAATTAAGTTTTACTCACGTTAGACCTATCAAAATTAATGGACTGAACTTAGCCATGCTCATTCATTTCCGTGGGTATACTAGGGGTTAAACATAATTGAATCCCAGCTAAAATCTTTAAAAAGAGCACTGACTTATTCAGTCCTCTGCTGAACGAACATCCATCAGGAATAGATATTAAGTCTTATGAATCATGGTTGCTAAAGGAGTTTGAATAAAGCATACCGAATTAGTGTGCCTTCCAATTATCTTTGCTTTTTGAATAAGCAACAAGGATCCTCATCACTGAGTCTAGAATCCAGTTGCAATTCAGCAGATCTGGAGATGCACATTTTAGAAAATCAGGATGGGATCTGTCTGCTGATGAGAAATATTAACAGATAACCAACTACCCACCATTATGATGGGCAGATTCTAGATGGCAACAGGGATTGGCATCCTTGGGAAAGTGCCAACGGACAAAAAAGATGTTGATGGAAACAGACACTGCCAGACAGAAGCTTAAACATATTATATAAGCTTATTACTATCTGGCCCAAACCTTCCCAATACTTTGGAAATCTGGATCTTGGGAGCAATGCAAGACTGCTCCATTTTGCAGTGCAAATTATGAACAGAAGGTTTGCTGGTGCAGAAATCATGATGCCCCCCATACAGAGCAAACACTCACATTTATGAGTTGCAGAGCCCAGTGCTAGTGTGTCCCTAACATTCACTATTGGCATGTCTTAGACCTGATCCAGGTCCAAACCAATGATGAAAACATTTTCACTGGAACGGACAAAAAAGGTGTTGATGGAAACAGACCCGAGATGACCGACAATGTTTGAATACCATTTTCCGAGGTTGTGGTACAATCTCAAAAATTACCGCCTGGCTTCTTCCCAGTCTATCAATCGTGCTCTCTACTCACTGCCTTCAGTACGGACATCAGGTTTCCTTTGCGTACATATTCCATCACCAGGGAATAGTTGCCATCTTCCAAAATGATGCCCAGTAGCTTCACCACACGGTCATGGTTTAGTCTGAGCATAATCTTGCCTTCTTCCAGAAGGGACGTGTTACACCTGGGAGGGGGGGAACAGGTACTATGGGATTACCAGTGTGCATGACTGCCAAGAAGGGAATAGAGCTATAGACTAAAGCTTCCTGTAAGACATTTCAAGGTGACAGGCAGAAATGTCAACTTCTTCACCTGAACTCTCCAAAATGATGAGCCAAACCTGCATAGCTCAAGCTGCAGCATAATCTGCGAATGAAATGGCTGGGTGAAATCCTGCCTTGTGTCTGAGTGGTGATTAGTTAGCATTGTTATTACAGTGGTACCTCGGGTTACATATGCTTCAGGTTACATATGCTTCAGGTTACAGACTCCGCTAACCCAGAAATAGTACCTCAGGTTAAGAACTTTGCTTCGGGATGAGAACAGAAATCGTGCTCCGGCGGCACGGCAGCAGCAGGAGGCCCCATTAGCTAAAGTGGTGCTTCAGGTTAAGAACAGTTTCAGGTTAAGAATGGACCTCCGGAACGAATTAAGTACTTAACCCAAGGTACCACTGTACTAATTATTCATTCAGTCATTTGCATAGCGTTCTGGCTAGGAACTGCAGGCTAGTGCTTCCCAAATTTATAACAGCGGGATAATGCATTTTAAAAATATGAAGCAAAATTGGAGACACGCTTCAACTCTTAACACACAGGTGGTTTTCTTTCAGAGTGTGCAAGGTGGCAAAATGGCAGGTAGGTCTGCTAAGCTGTCACACCAGGCATGGCCGAATGATCTAATGACACATAATCCAGTCAGGCCTAGCGTCAATGAGTAGCATGCTTGGGCAACTGCCAGGACCCACACTGATGCCTGGCCCGGGCCCCCTTTTTAATCCCCCACTGGCATTTGTGTTGGGCAGCTGGGTCTGCTGAAGACACTATTTTAATTTCCCACAATGCCCCATCAATGGGTTGCCCCAAGGCATTGTGGGAAATGGCAGCCTCCCCCACACCCAGCTGCCCAGTGTGCTACAGCAGCCACCATCAGATAAGGACCATTGCTATAGCAAGGAGCCCTACAGAGAATGATTTCACAGAATGCAAGCTGGATAGCTCAGCTGGTTAGAGCAGATAACATCGAGGTTGCAGGTTCGATCCCCATAAGGAACACTTGCATTGCAGGGGTTGGACTAGATGATCCCCAGGATCCCTTCCAACTCTATGATTCTATGAACCAAGGGTCATCTAGTCCAACCCCTTGCAATGCGGGAATCTTTTGCCCAATGGGGGACTTGAACCCACAACCCTGAGATTAACAGTCTCATGCTTTACTGACTGAGCTATAGCTCTGATCTGTCGAGTTTCCAATCAGATCTGGAGCAGAGGCACCATCTAGGCTAACTAGGAGGCAGCCTTCTCTGGGGATGGGTGATGTGAGCCTAAAGCAGCGGTTCTCAACCTGTGGGTCCCCAGATGTTGTTGGACTACAACTCCCATCATCCCTGAGCTCTGGCCTTGCTAGCTAGGGGTGATGGGAGTTGTAGTCCAACACCATCTGGGGACTCACAGGTTGAGAAAGGCTGGCCTAAAGGAAGCCTTAATTGTTGAAGCTGGGAAATAAGAGTGGGAGACAGTCATTGCCTTTGTGAGCTGCCTGTGGACTTCCCACAAGCATCTGACTGGTGATAACGGTCATTTGGTTTGATCTAGCCGGGCTCGTCTTTTGTTCTCGCCACACAGATCTCTAGGCAAGCAAAACCCTGGAAAAGTTGAGGGAGGAACCTATCCAATCAGAAACCGGTAGGAGCCGGACTTAATAAGGCACAAATGCAAAAATTATGGTACAGAGACGATGGAATTGTCTAAATGAATATTTACACAAGCAGGGCTCAAATATGAAAGTTTGGTTGTGCTTAGACTAACCTTGTGAAGAATATAAAGATTTGATGGACTATGAAAGAACTTAAGGAAAGGAAGTGACTGAAGAACAGATGTAAAGGTGAACTAGAAATTAAGAGACGTGTGGTGAATGCGGTGGAAGTCTTTTATAATATTTTAACTAGGATTTTTATAATGTAATGTTTAAAGTATAAATTTGGTATTACTGATTATGGAAAGTATTTTTTTATTTTTCCCCCCTTTCTTTTTTTCTTTTCTTTTATCTTTTTGTCTTTTTTCTTCTTTAGTCTGCATCTGGTAAATATGTAGACGATTGTGTTTATATTGTTATGTATGGATTTTGTTTTGATTTCCCTTTTCTATTTCCCTTGTAATATTTAATAACCTATCCATTCTTAAGGAAACCAGCCCTGAGTGCTCACTGGAAGGACAGATCCTTAAGCTGAGGCTCCAATACTTTGCCCACCTCATGAGAAGAGAAGACTCCCTGGAAAAGACCCTGATGTTGGGAAAGATGGAGGGCACAAGGAGAAGGGGACGACAGAGGACGAGATGGTTGGACAGTGTTCTCGAAGCTAGCAGCATGAGTTTGACCAAAGTGCGGGAGGCAGTGGAAGAAAGGAGTGCCTGGCGTGCTCTCGTCCATGGGGTCACGAAGAGTCAGACACGACTAAACGACTAAGCAACAACAAAATATTTAATAAAACTAATTTAAAAAAGAAAAGAAACTGGCAGGAGCTCAGTGGTAGGTAGCTCTACACTGCTCTCTCTTGTCTGCAAAGGATCTCCCTCTAACCAACTTACTCTGTGCGCTGAGGCCCTGTGTACACCGTTTTTAGCACCACAAGCCCATGCCTCTTGTGGTAACACAGCGAAACCATTCCAAATCCGCCGGCATCCAGCTGCTCTTTTTGCAAAAAGTCCTCCGAATTCATCTGAATGTCATCCAAGGACATGTTTGCGGCTCGTGGGGCGCTCCAGCAATTCGTAGAGAGAAATCCCAGGGCCTACAATGTGAAAACAGAAGAGAAGGCATTGTGCGGTCTGTATTTCCACTGCTACAGGACACGATGGCCAAAAGGCCACAAAGAAAGCTGTGGAGACCTACCAAAGACCCAAGGATGGCACGAAGGTGACAGTAAGAGCGCAATCCTATGCACGTTTAGTCAGAAATCAATCCCAGAGTGTTCAAGGTGGCTTACTCTCAGGTAAGTGAGCACAGGTAACAAGCAGCGTCCTTCATGCTGCTATTGGTCTGGTCAGTATGGGACATCTTGTAGAGTAGTAGAGAAAATTCATGAAGAACCTTCTCTTGAGAGTCTATATTATAAAAACGGAGGGTGTCTACAAGGGGAGGGGATTTTTAATGGTGGCTTCCTGTTTGAGAAGAGGCTAGGTTGTCACCCACCTTAATGGCAGACAAAAGACTTCTATGTTCCCAGGTTTTTAAATATTTTTTCTATGTTATATAAACTAAACATAGTTTTTTTGTAAAATGATTTTATTTGGTTTTACAAATTCATTCGCACTCAAAATCACAAATAATAAAAATTACACAAGATTCTTCTGAATCTCTAGACTTCCCTCCTCCCCTCTGGGGGTTCTTTAGTAAACTTTTTCAACTGCATACTATAAATCCTCCTAATTTTTCAGTCCTCCATTGTACCCAAAGTCTATGTAACATTACAAGAGTTATTTAAGACCTGCCAAAGAGTTCAAATGTTTACAGTGGTCATTCAAATATAATATAAATTTTCCCCATTTTTTGTTGAAGTTTTGATCCTCCTGGTTTCTGATTTTCCCAGTCATTTTTGCCATCTCTGCATAGTTTAATAGCTTAGTCTTTCAGTCCACTCTGGTAGGAACCTTATACCAGAGTATAATCTAAACATTTAAAGATAGTGATTAACTCTCTTTAAATAATTAAATTGACTGCATCATTGCCAAAATCAGCTTTCTTTCTTTTCTTTCTTTCTGCTAAGTTTGATTATTAATATGAATCATTTGTATACTGCTGTATTTTAAAATTTTGCTTTCATATTAGTGTTCCAGGTTGCTGAGCCTTATTGTATGAGGTAATTAAGACATAAATAAAAATATACAGGATCTAACGAGTGGTATTGAAGTAGATTTTACTGAGAGTAGACCCACTGAAAACAATGGACTTACATTAGTCATGCCTAATTTAAGGACATTAATTTTAATGGGTCTGCTCTATTACTACATTGGTTCCTACGGCTGAATTGTAATAATAATAATAAAAATTGGGGGGGGGGGATCAGCCTCAAGGTAACGGGATAAATGGCATTGGTCTATCTAGGACAATTATTGGCAAGTTATAATTCTTAACAGGTTGGCATTGCCAACAGCGCCACTGTGCCAGTCACACAGAGGCTGTGTACACACCATACATTTAAAGCACATGATTTCCCCCAAAGGATCCTGGGAACTGTGTTTTCTCAAAGGTTACTGGGAAGTAGAGCTCTGTGAGGGGGGGCTTTGGGGGGGAATGTCATGGGCTTCACACACACAAACACACACACATGTTGCTAAGCATAATATGAAGCATTTAGTCCCCATTTCAGCTGAATGCTACTTTGGGAAGTAGGAGGGTTTGGGGTTTCATGGGTCTAGTTTTAATTCCCATTTTTCTCTGGCCGCTTAGCTGTTTTAATGTATTACTGTTTAATGTTTTCTTTTAGGGCTGCCATATTTCTGGGATTCATCCGTCAGAAATAGTGTCCGGGCGGAATGTCTGGGGGAACCTGGGCATACGGCAACCTATGTCAGAAGTGTAGATTTTAGGGGTGAATTTTCTTAAAAATAGCTCAGAAACTTTTTTTTGTAGCGATTTTACAAACAAACAAACAAACAAACCAAACAACTCAGCAACTTTCATGTCTGGATTTTCACTTTTTGAAATATGGCAACTCTACTTTTAACTTAAGGGACGTGCTGTGGGTGCTGTGGGTTAAACCACAGAGCCTAGGACTTGCTGATCAGAAGGTCGGCGGTTCGAATCCCCGTGACAGGGTGAGCTCCTGTTGCTCGGTCCCTGCTCCTGCCAACCTAGCAGTTCAAAAGCACATCAAAAGTGCAGGTAGATAAATAGGTACCGCTCAGGAGGGAAGGTAAACGGTGTTTCCGTGCACTGCTCTGGTTCACCAGAAGTGGCTTAGTCATGCTGGCCACATGACCCGGAAGCTGTACGCCGGCTCCCTCGGCCAACAAAGAGAGATGAGCGCAACAACCCCAGAGTCGGCCACAACTGGATCTAATGGTCAGGGGTCCCTTTACCTTTACTTTTAATTTGCAGTATTTTTTTAGCTCACAGGGTATGCATGTTCTTTACCCTGTTGGGTTGGGTAAAGCTCATATTTTCCCAACCCAACAGGATAGCTCAGTCAGTAGAGCATGAGACTCTTAATCTCAGGGTTGCAGGTTTGAGCCCCACGTTGTGCAAAGTTTCCTGCACAGCAGGGGGTTGGACTAGATGACCCTCGTGGTCCCTTTCAACCCTACAATTCTATGATTCTCTGGCCAGTCAGGGCTGAATGGACCAGTGGTCTTGCTACATATAAGGCAGATTCTTATGTTTCTCAACTATTGTTACAAAGCCCTTTGGGGGCATATAGGCAAAAAGGCAATGGGATTTACTCCCAGGCAACAATGTACAGCACTGTATCCTGTGCAATAGAAGTAGTGGCAACAAAAGTTGCAACAAGAGTTAAGAAACAAAAAGAATCTTCCTTATATGGGTCACCATCTTGGTACCCACTGGGTGCACTTGCATCCCCAGAGGCCTCCTCCGGCACCTGCAAGCTCACCTCCCTGCTACTGAAATCAGGTTGGGGGAAAAGAATTCTGTTGTAGCAAATAGAACAGAAGGAGGCATCATGGTCCTGGTCTCAGATTCCTCATCTTCAGGGGGATAGGGGAAGAACGGAAAGGGCACGCAGGACCAGCATGCCTCTCAAAAGAGAGATTGTGTTGCATAGTGGTTAGAGTGTTGGACTAGGACCTGCTCAGCCATGAAACTCACTGGGTGACCCTGGGCTGGTCACAGTGTCAACTTAACCTACCTCACAGAATTGGCTGTGAGGATAAAATGGGAAAGAAGAGAATCATATCTGCCACTTTGCAGAAATCAGCCAGGCACTTGGACTGGTGCATATCCAATTGAATCCACCTACATCTGACCTAGGGGGTGCAGGTGGCACTGTGGTTTAAACCACAGAGCCTAGGACTTGCCGATCAGAAGGTCGGCGGTTTGAATCCCTGCCACGGGGTGAGCTCCCGTTGCTCGGTCCCTGCTCCTGCCAACCTAGCAGTTCGAAAGCACGTCAAAGTGCAAGTAGATAAATAGGTACCGCTCTGGCAGGAAGGTAAACAGCATTTCCATGCACTGCTCTGGTTCACCAGAAGCAGCTTGGTCATGCTGGCCACATGACCCGGAAGCTGTCTGAGGCCAAACACCAGCTCCCTCGGCATGTAAAGCAAGATGAGCGCCGCAACCCCAGAGTCCGTCATGACTGGACCTAATGGTCAGGGGTCCTTTACCTTTACATCTGACCTAACGTTTAACACATGCAAAAATAGGACTGCTAAGTACAGGATACCCAGACCCTCAGTGAGATCCATCCACACAATGATAAAGTGATTTAAAGGCAGATCCCAGGCAGAGATGCCTAGGTTCAGATAAGTGCCCACTATCACCCTTTTGTTAAGCAAACAGGAACAGGACGACCAAGGATGGGCAAGGTGAAAAATAGGCAGGAAATTCTGGGATTATGGAAATTGTAGGAATCAATCATTTCACAGCCTCCTCCTCCCCTATCCACTAACATGCCTTCGTACAAAAAGGTATTTAAAAAACTAGATTCAAAGGCAGCTTTCTCCCAACTGAAGTGCAGAGGATTGGGACTTTTGCAGGGAAACCAAAATATTTGTTCACAAATATTTGTTTACTACCGACCTTCCTATATGCTTGTGAAACATGGACCACGTATAAACGCCATCTCCAACTCCTTGAAAGATTCCATCAACAGTGTCTTTGAAAAAATGTACATATCACCTGGGAAGACAGGCCAACTAACGCCAGTGTGCTGGAATAAGCAAAGATCACCAGTGTTGAAGCAATGATTCTTCAACATCAACTTCGTTGGACTGGTTGTACTGTGTGGATGCCTGATTGTCTTCCAAAGCAACTACTCTATTCCAGACTTAAAAATGGTAAATGTAATGCTGGTGGTCAACATAAGAGGTTCAAAGACTCTCTCAAGGCAAATCCAAAAAAATGTAGTATAAACACCGACAACTGGGAAACACTGGCCTGTGAGTGCTCCAGTTGAAGAACAGCCTTTACCAAAGGTGTCATGGGTTTTGAAGATGCTTAAACTCAGGATGAAAGGGAGAAATACGCTAAGAGGAAGGCACGCTTGGCAAGCCATCACCGTGATCAACTCTCATCCGGAAACCTATGTCCCCACTGTGGAAACCTATGTCCAGAATTGGCCTCCACAGTCACCTACAGACTCACTGTTAAAACCGTGTTTATGGAAGACAATCTTACTCAGCTAGGAGTGATCGCCAAAGAAGAAAGATGCTATTAAGCAAAGTACGAGTTTGGAGGGGCCTAAGTCTTCTGGTAAGTGGATTTCATCTCCCTCATGCCCAAACCCCTCTCCAACTCCACATCCGCAAAAGCAGAGAGAGATTGTGGCTGGTTAAAACTTTTGAGCCAAACCCATGAAGGCACCCAGCTGCACTCCTAGCCACACAATACACAAAGGGAAGCACTTAGCTTAGGATCCGAGTGGTGACTAATAATGGGAAGGAGTTCCCACCTCATTCAGCGAGCCGCCTCTTGAAATCCTGGACTTCACCAGGGCGCGGTGGTTCTCAACCTGTGGGTCCCCATATGTTGTTGGACTACAACTCCCATCATCCCTGAGCTCTGCCCTTGCTAGCTAGGGGTGATGGGAGTTGTAGTCCAACAACATCTGGGGACCCACAGGTTGAGGAAAGGCTGCCGGATGAAGTTTACGCGCGCGCCTCACAGAGGCACAAACTTAGTTTCATTTTCCTGCGCGCCTCCCCTTTCCCCTCTCGCTTCCCTCGAGCGCAACGGGAAGGAAGAAGGGGCCGGAGGCAGTTTCCCACAAGTTCGATCCTCAGGAAAACCTACCCGGGCGAGTCTTTCTCTCTGCAGGGATGCCGAGGGGGAAACCTGGAAGCGGCCAGCCCGCGCTAGTGGGGGCACCACCTCCTCGGCTCCAAAAAGATCGACGTGCAGCGGGGAAGGGACCAGATCCCTCTCCACCGTCTCCTCTCCCCGAGCAGGAGAGATCCCCAGTTAGTGTACGCTGCGCCCCACGGGGAGCGATCCCCTCGATTTCTTCTCTTTCCTTTCGCCCTCCTGCTCCCGAAAGGGGCCACCCACTGTCCGGAGCGCGCCTGGCGCTTTTCTTCCTCTTTCGCCGAACTTTGCCGGGGCGGAGTCAGGCGGTGTTAAAAGCGCACGCAAGCCCTTCCCAACCTATGATCCAGGCTTCTCTTCTCCGCAGGCGGGGCGAGCAGCGAGGCTTTCTGATCTCCCCTCGGGGAGGGATCAGCGGGGCGAGATCTCCGAAGAGAGATTCCAGTGCGGAAATGGGTGGCGTCGATAGCTGCTGAAAGGGAGAGGAGGAACACGAAGGAACACGAACAAGGGCATTGCGCGGCTGGAGATACTGCTGCGTCTCACTTGCTGGAGGGGAGAGATGCTCTTGTGCTCAGATCCTGCTCCCTGGTTTCCCACAGGCACCACCGTGAGAACAGGATACTGGAACTGATGGGCCCTTGGCCTGGTCGAGCAGGCTCGTTTCACATTCTTGAGTTCTTTAGCTGTGTGGGATCCTAATAAGGACGCAACTAAGAGGAAATAAATTGGGTCTGTTCGGGCAGAAAGGGACGCCAGGCTTAAGCCAACACCTTCAGTAGTAGTAGTAGCAGCCCTGCTCCAGAATGGAGTTTGGATCAGGTGTACTTCAGCTTTCCTTGACTTTGCACCATCATCTTGGGTATAGAATTGCCTTGCCGAATTTTGTTGTTGCTTAGTCGTTTAGTCGTGTCCGACTCTTCGTGACCCCATGGACCAGAGCATGCCAGGCACTTCTGTCTTCCACTGCCTCCCGCAGTTTGGTCAAACTCATGCTGGTAGCTTCAAGAACACTGTCCAACCACCTCATCCTCTGTCGTCTCCTTCTCCTTGTGCCCTCCATCTTTCCCAGGGTCTTTTCCAGGGAGTCTTCTCTTCTCATGAGGTGGCCAAAGTATTGGGGCCTCAGCTTCAGGTTCTGTCCTTCCAGTGAGCACTCAGGGCTGATGTCCTTCAGAATGGATAGGTTTGATCTTCTTGCAGTCCATGGGACTCTCAAGAGTCTCCTCCAGCACCATAATTCAAAAGCATCAATTCTTTGGCAATCAGCCTTCTTTATGGTCCAGCTCTCACTTCCATACATCACTACTGGGAAAACCATAGCTTTATCTATACGGACCTTTGTTGGCAAGGTGATGTCTCTGCTTTTTAAGATGCTGTCTAGGATTGTCATTGCTTTTCTCACAAGAAGCAGGCGTCTTTTAATTTCGCAGCTGCTGTCACCATCTGCAGTGATCATGGAGCCCAAGAAAGTAAAATCTCTCACTGCCTCCATTTCTTCCCCTTCTATTTACCAGGAGGTGATGGGACCAGATGGGACCAGTGGCCATAATCTTCTTTTTTTGATGTTGAGCTTCAAACCATATTTTGCGCTCTCCTCTTTCACCCTCATTAAAAGGTTCTTTAATTCCTCCTCACTTTCTGCCATCAATGTTGTATCATCTTGCCGAATAGTGTTTGTGAATTACACCACCCTTTCTGCCAGCTTCATTTATGCCTGTTTGCCAGATCATGTGGCTGAGCTGGAATGGATTGAGGATCCAGCCTAACAGGGTCGCTCCATTAAGCGCCTGTGCTGTACAGGGGCTAGACTCTCCCCACCACCACCTGCATTTTTTAGGGGGCGTATTTTTGTTTCACTTGGCAATGTGAGGAGCAATGGTGGCATCTTCTGGCGAACCTGAAGATTGCATGGCCTCAGTATAATTTCCTGGCATGCTCCTCCCTTGTCTCCTGAGACAGACAGATGCCAACCAACCATCTTGAGTTTGTGCTTCCTGATTCAATGCGATTTAAGGACTGCTCCGGGCTTAGTCATGCTTAACTTTCCTTCGCTCTTTTCTTTTTTGCTGTGCTTTCCCCACAAAAACTCTCTCTGAAGTGGAATCAGAGCAAATGACAATCCACGGAAAACCCAAATTGACATTTGCTCCAACTGAGCACTAAAGAGCGGGTTTTTGCAGGGAAACCTCAGGGGCAGAAAAAACCTACACAGTCTGAGGAAGAGCTTTTAACTGGGCACCTGTGCCTGGAAAAAGTGAGCAACAGGTAAGTGTAAGCACATACTAGCACAGAAAGTTCAAACCAAGTTTGTTTTCTTTTTCTTCTAACCAAATCGTTTGTAAACTGCCTTTTCACCCCAATTAAGAGCCCGCAAGATGATGAACAAAATCAAATTGCAAAGTTTAAGCAATAAGCCACATTAAACTAGATCTTCAAAACCAAGAGGTTTGATCACTCAGCCTCTTATTTAAAACCTTTTAAATTGAGGCAGAAAAGATGCCTGCTGAAAATCAGATAGAAATGGGGCCAGTTGGAAAACAAGTGAGGTCCCAGCCAAAGAAGAATGGCAACTTAAGTTGACAGAATATGTGCAGCTTGCAGACTTAACATATAGAATAAGAGAACAAGAAGAAGATACATTTAGAGAAGATTGGAAAATGTTTATTGAATATATGGGGAATAATTGTGTACAGCTGAAAACGCTGGCAGCATTAAGATAAATTGAATAGTGTAAATAATTTTTGATGGATGTAATAATGGAATACTGAATGGTATAGTTTTTGTAAAATATGCAAGGATTCATGATATGTAAAATGAACCATGGAAAGAGAAGGGAAGTCACTGATATCTTAAGGATGTAAAAATGAGTACTTTAAAGTGTAAAACAACAAAAAAATTATATATATATGAAATGGGGCCAGTTTACGCTTCCCTGGAAGAGAATTGCATAGACAACTACAACTGTTCCGAGTTAGTAGATAGGGCTCCTTCCATTATCACACTCTTCTAATAATGTGCTTTATTTTCTTCCAGGCCTGCTTGCAGCACAGTAGTCTCCTGAGATGTAGATAGATCATGTTTAATAACTAAATGATATGCTGTTATGTGCTGCAACACAAAAGTCATGCAATGTACCTTGCAATGGAGAACACTGTACCAGGCCAGTGGCTGGGGTTGATGAGAGTTGGAATCAGCAGCAACATGTAGTACTACAGATTCCTTGTCCATGCTTTACTTTCTAGTTTTGCATTTTAAAATCTGCCTCTATTCAGCCCAGGATGGCTTTCTATGTGCATAGCACAGGAGATGCAGGATCCTTCATCACCCATCCATCACCTTCATGTGTGTGTATAATCTTGGATCTCAATACAGTGGTACCTCGGGTTACAGACGCTTCAGGTTACAGACTCTGCTAACCCAGAAATAGTACCTTGGGTTAAGAACTTCGCTTCAGGATAAGAACAGAAATCGTGCAGCGGCAGTAAGAGGCCCCATTAGCTAAAGTGGTACCTCAGGTTAAGAACAGTTTCAGGCTAAGAACAGACCTCTGGAACGAATTAAGTTCTTAACCTGAGGTACCATTACAGGTCCAGAGCAGAGGACACCAAAGAAAAGAAAAAGGGGGAAAGAAAGAGAAGAAAGGGTGGGGGGGGGAGAAGGAAATAAAATAAATCTAAAAGGGGCTTTTCCGTCTGTAGAAAATCCAATCCAAGGTTCATGTCTTCTGCTTCATTTGCATAAATACATGAAAACACAAAGCTCCTTTGGATTATTCCATGGATCTGTTGTTTGTTTTGTGGTTTTTAGTGTTTGTTTCATTTTAATGTTTGTAATGTTTGAATGATGCCTATACTCGAGGCAGCAATGCTTCTTCTTCTTTTTGAATATCTTTTTATTGGGTTTTATAAACTGCGGGAGGCAGTGGAAGACAGGAGTGCCTGGCGTGCTCTGGTCCATGGGGTCACAAAGAGTCGGACACGACTAAACGACTAAACAACAACAAATAAACAAGGTTCATAGGAATAATAAATGATACAAATATATAGACCAAGTCTTCTCATGTTATTTTTATATCACAAAAAATAGCATAATAAATTTGCAGTAATATCTACAACATATGGTTCATTGTTAGTGGTCAATGTATATATTCTTGGTTCATGAATTGGTTTAAACAAAAACAAAGGGGAAACAGGATAGAACAGTTAACGTACGACATTCAAGATCACATAGCTGAATGCCTAATCAGGCACCCTTGTGATTGCATTTCGATTAATAGTCATTTTTCCTCTTATGTTACAATGCTTACTAGTTACTGAAGCATGAATGGAGACAAAAAATACTTCTCACACAGAACTGGAAGTATGTTTATTATCGTTTGGTACAGGAGACTTAAGGTATTCATTTGATATGCCACAAAGTGAACATGAACTAGTAGCAGATAAGCTCAGACTAACTCTGTAATAGATTAGTCAAGCAGAATTACCCACTGTGTGCCGCAGAACCAAATCCCCACTGCTTTCCTTCACTGCAACAGAATAACTGATTTTCCAGCACTAGATCAGTCTTGAAGTCAAGGAAATGGGTTCACAGATTTAAAAATGGGAATTGTTTACATGGTAGTCACTGCATGAAACCAGGCCTCTGATTCTATCCCCTTTCAGTCATTCCCAGTGTACGAAGACAGAGCAGATGGGGAGGAATAATGAAGCCAATGGAAACAACAACAATAACAAAAGGATAATATTTTTTATCTGTGATATTAATACTCAGCTGTTACTTATAGGAGGGCAGCTTCCAATGGTCAGGGCCTTGTAGAACATCACAAGGATGGACATATTTAGAAACACAAAGGGATGCTGACTTTTTGCTTGTCAAATTATCCATCTAAATGTTGTCTGAGTGGCAGCAGCCGAAACAGCTGATTCCAATCGTTTAGTCACGCTTTGCTACGGGCAAGGGAAATGGTGTCCAATCATGAGCAGAGTTGGCTACACATGCTGAGACCTGCCAGGTAGCTTTATTCCTGTTGCTGGGTACCATGCCAGGTGGATGGAGACATCTTCCAAGACAAGTTACATCAATGCATAGTAGTCGAGAAGCCAGGCCTGAGACCTGGAACAGGGCCAGCTCTCCCATTAGGCAGAGGGAGGCAGCCTCCTCAGGCAGCTGATACGGGAGGTTTTTTAAAAAATGCGAATTATTATTCAATTTATTAGTGTTATGTTTCAATTCCCAGGGAGAGAAATTTGTGGGGTATTTTGTACCTGAAGGAGCGTCTCCACCCCCATCGTTCTGCCCGGACACTGAAGTCCAGTGCTGAGGGCCTTCTGGTGGTTCCCTCGCTACGA